AAGGCATTGTATTTTGGCCGGCCGAATGTCACATATGGTCAGCCCTTCATATTTACAGCTGTTCTTTGGTGGGAATATACCCAGGTTTTCGTGATCGTTGTTGGTGTATCAACCTTTTGGTGACTCAAGTCATGAACCTCACAGCATGAATTTGGAGCGCCGACGATCCTGATGGGATTTCGGCTCAGGAGAGGGGACGCGAAATCTATTTTCTCCATACAAGAAACTCTGGTGACACCGGATGCTTCATGAAGTTGGTCTATGTAGTATGCTTGACTGGTGATAAGCCTGTCTTGTTCTTTCCCGATCCTCTCTTGACTGGATAATATCACCAGCAACTGTTTTCACTCGCTTTGCACAAAAATTAGGGTATCTATTGATGCGGGACCGTTTCAGTTCTTGTTTGAACGACACGAGAACAAAGAATAATGCAGAGCGTGCGATCGCATTGTTCTCCTCCAACATGAAGTTACGACGCGACGAATGGCACTACTTCGAAGTGTCCAGAAGACGATTGATCAGGCATTAGTTATTACGCGACGCATTGTGATATAGAAACGGCAAAGGCGGCTTATAGAACACCCTCAGTAACAGACGTAGACTACCTTGGTAGCCTTCTAGTAGCGTAGTCATGAAATCTTCACAAGTCATCGGAACAGAATGTTTTGGCTTTCACCATGTGTCCAATGGGTACACTATAACATGCGCGACTTAAGCGCTACAGGATATACCATCCAGCTCATCTTTTGATATGTATACCAACAGTGAGCCGAAATAATTGAGCATAATTCATAGAGTTCAACGCTCTGGTAACTGGCCCGGCATATATGTAACGGCCTCTTCGATAGGCCTCAAGCATATAAACGGCGGCCACCTCAAGTAATATCGAGATTCTAAGACTATCCCCACGAGAAATCTGTATTGAGATATGGAATGAATGCGGCAAAGATTTGCAATGTGAAACTCACATTTCTCATTGCGCTCGCCACGGTTTACAATAGAGGCCCATGCATCCGGGGAAATCACCTACTCCAACCACGACCGGCCAAAAAAACATGGCTCAAAGCCCTGTTACCAACGATAAAATATTAAAGTTTTTTTTTCTCATGGAAAGCTGTGGATACGTCAAACATACGACTAGCCCTTCCTTCAAAAATGTTCCATTATACATAGAGTGGTGTATGAAAGACACAAAACACACAATGTGAGACCGGGTAAGCTTGCCGGAAACATGCACCTTGCTTATTTCGTGGTTCCAGTGAATTGACAGGGGATTCGAGAAAAAAAAAAAAAGAAGGCAAACAACATGAACGGGGAGGGTAACCAAAAGTCCACGAGCACGCATGATGACGGGGGACTACAGATGCTGCTATCCGAGGGGAAGAAAGTCCTTTTAGCCCTTTCGGCCGTTACACAAAAGTACGTACCTAGGTACCTACATCTCACCTGCCTTGCTGATTTGGCTTGCTATCTATCTGACGTTACCTCTACCTAATCTGTCCCGAACGAGCGTGCAGCTAGTAATCGGTTTTTCGGCATCTATGTACGATTACATGTACAGTTAGATGGTAAGATTGTGAACATCGGAGCAAGAGGCAACGCGAAGACGGATGGGGATGTAGGAATAAGAAAGTCCACTTACTGATTTCTACGGGGAAAATTCATGAGGAGTTGCTAATGTGTTCCGTCCAATTCCTGATCTGGTTTATCGGGCAGGGCTAATCCGGCTCGGCATACCCGGGTTTATTACACGGGAACACGTAAATGCGCAGAGTGTTGTCGATCATCCTGGGGAGGGTCCAACGTCGATTAACAGACTCGACGGTATGCCTGGCCACGAAACCAGGAGAAGTGTTAGGTAGTCTAGAGAGATCCCTCAGCAGCCACAGTTTCATCGGGGAGAGAACCCGAACTTCTCTGTCCTGCCCTGAACTTATATGGAAAACAAGTAAATAGACCCTACCGTAAGATATAGATAGGTTGGAGCGAGTGATAGCTTTGTAAGCTCCATTGCTCCGTACGTCCGTACGAGTGATGGACTCAGGAAACTCGGTCGACAACCAAATGTACCTTACCGAACTCAAATCCGTTCCATGAACGAACGAACGGTTTTCGTGAGTATACTCCCCATGATCCTTCACATGTATACCACCTTGGTATACTCCCAACTCCTTCAAATACCCATTGTTGATGACGGCACCATAGTCGAGACAGATGGACGGATGACTACTGGAGAAAGAAAAGAGACCACAGCGGCAGTCGGCTCGGCCCGAGAAGAACTTCTCACCTGACCGGGCCAACGGCTTGCCCAAAGTCAACGGTTTTACAGAATGTTTCAAACCCCGTCAGGCAGACAAAGCAGGCAACCGGTGGAATGGCAACTCTTTGTCCCGTAGCCCAAATATCGGGACCGAGACATTTGTTCACCCGTTGATGCCTGTTATCTTGTCCGCGCCCAGCAAGCCACCAGCCACACCAAATACAGCCGCACGCGGCCAGCTTCGAGCCCTTGTGACCTCCCTTGTCTTTGGGGCGTTTGCTACTTCCCGCGTGGCTGGATGTACTCTTTCAATCATGAACTCTCTTAAGACTTTCGGATGAGCGAATGGAAAGGAATAAAGCTGGCCCACGACAGTCCTGTGAAGCGTGTGTGCGCGCCAGATGTCTCTCACCTGAGGCCTACTATCTAACGCAATCACGACTCGAACAGAAAGGACACGGCGGTTGAACGCCTCGTGAAAGCCTCGTTGTTGACGAGGCAAACATCAGCGTCTGTCTGGTGTATACTAGTTTGTGATCCCAGATTCTTCTAAGCATAGATAAAAATAAAAAAGAGAGGCGTTCTCGGTCTGCAATGAGGCGTTCATAAACGCGCGGATTCTCCGTTCTTTCTTACCCTCCAACAGAAAGAGAAAGCTGAGAAAGCCAGTCAGTCAGCCAGACTGACTGAAGCAGCCAGCCACAACAGCCCTACGAAATTGTATGATGCCATCCATACCGGTCGGGTTGAGTCAGCGGTTGTCCGTGGTGGTCCCGTCCAAGAATGATCTCGGGAGTTCTTGGCACGATTTGTCCTTTGCCTGGAGGCTGACGGTCGGCCCAATGTCGGTAAGGTTGATGAACGTGAGGGTGTATCGTACGATATCATGTGAAGGGAATAGCCTCATCTCGGTCCCCTACTCTCTGTCATCTTGTCAGTTTGGGCCCAAGGGTCCAAGAGCGTATGTGATGCAACAGAAGTTTCGACTGCTCACCTGTCCTCTTCTGAGGACCCCTATAATGCCAAACCCTACTCCTTAAGGGATCCTGCCCGGTCACGGCACAGTCCGCTGATGGAGGGTGCCAGTTACGACCAAGTGGTGCATAAATCTGTCCACTATATGCAGCATCCGAGAACCGTTTTTCCTCGAAGTTTGGTTCTCATCTGTCCTTTGCCCAGTCCTATCGTCACGGTTACATTCTGGCTCATTTCAAGGGCCCAAGCATACCGACCTCTACGTACGGTGTCTGTTGTCGTGTAAGTGCCCGCAAATGAGTAGTAACTCCAAATGCTACGCCGAGCTCGTAGGTAACAAGCATCACACTGTCGGTGTCATCCGTGTCTTTGTATTAAAGGGGAAAAAAAAAAGAAAAAAAAAAAAAAAGCAAGGCTGCCAAATCCAGATGGCACCCAGTAGGAGCCAGTTAATGAGCCCAATATCGAGCCGTGAGCCGCGAGGCGCACATTGTCGCAGAGCGAACTAGCGATTACCACCGTATTGTGTATTCTGGCCTCTTGGGCAGTCTATATCGATCATTGGGCACCGAAATTGCAGGATCACCGCGTCGGTCTTGCGTTCCAGCGCCCCGCTTCGGCCCAGCAAAAAAATTGATATTTTGTTGATAACTCATCTCGGGAAGAAATGTGTGTTGTGGTTGCTGTTCATATTCCACAGCCATGTCAGCATTGCAGTACGCAATGGTGCAAATGCAACCCAAAAAACACATCACGCAGAGTCGCGAAGAAAGAGGATGGTTCGTTAGGCTCGGGGACCTAACAGTAGTTACCATTCCGAGAGTAGGTAGAGCTGGGATCAACGGTAGGTGTGTAGTTCGGATCACGTAGTGTTTTCGTGTGGAGAGCGAAAAGCCAGCCTGCCAGCCTGCTCTGCCTGTCCACCAACAAATATTTCTCATATGCAATCGATACGAAAGACGGGAAAAGGGCTGACTAGGTTGCCAAGGGTGAGCTGGTGGGGAAGGTACATCACAGAAGCGTTCCGTCCGCTTGGAAACCGTCCAACATCATTTCGATACGGCGTCAACCGGGCGGTTTAGCAAGACAGGACAGTGCTTATTTCGTATATAGCGAGTTGATCGGTAGCCATCCGGATGTCCTTGGAACCATGGGGCTTGACGAACAGGTTCACAAACAAAGCCTAGGTTCATCGTAGTCTCGTTTAGCTGCTTCGCAGGGGTGATGCCTCACCTTGGCTGCCTAGGATAGCGCGCACCAATGGCAACTTTTCGGGAGACTTTGTCACTGGTGATCTGCTAGATACGAATTAGTCTGACATGTTGGCAATCTCAAAATCTAATTATCTGCCGGACCGCTCTTTCAATCCTGTTGACCGGTGTTGTACTCGAACGCCATCATCCACTGTGCTCGACAGGTTTCACTTTCGCCTTGGTCATCAGCAAAAGAGTCTTTTGCAACTGAAGGATGTCACCTCTTGTCTGGGTTGACCGATTTAATGACGTCCCGAGGAAGCGGCATACGCCATATAAGCTTCGTGACATCTTCGAATAGTACGGGGATCTGCCAAGAGGGTTTGAAGATAGACCAGGATCGCCAACCAGCATCTGCGTCGCCGGCTAGTAGGTATGTTTACGATTTCGAGGGCTTGCCGTGACGATTCATGTCAAGTCATGATGTCGTATGAAGACTTATCATTTAATCGGAGCACACTAGGAAGATGCTGGCGCTCACAACTAGTGGACGTCCAGCCTCCCAGGACCATTCACTTGGATGTTCGAAAAGCGAATACGGGAGAAGAGGGCGCGAGCGGCGGTGTCCGTTTAAGTGACCTAGTTATTGATTTCAGGCTGACCGTCAGCCAGGAACCCCTAAATAGAACGTTGGACATCGCCCATCCCCATTGGGAACATTTTTTCACGTTACTAGATGTTCGGAGTCTCCAGACGCCCTCAGACAGGAAATAGTCCGGTTCATGTGATGGTGTCGTTCTGATGCCGGTCTGTGGATTTCTTTGAAATCTCGACTCGCATCATAGACTCTTGAAAGCATAAGTCTTGTGCCATGATGACGGTCCTATGCTCCTTGACGACACCGGTGTGCATCTTGCCGAGCTTGGCGAGCAATAGAGGTGTGCAAACGGGAGTGTGCATGGCGCTCCGGTACGCTGATATGGGGATCTGATATCTATTCCCCGTAACATGGTCTGAATGAAGGCCCTTTGTGTGTGATGTTTTGTTTGCTTCCGATACACACTTGCTCTGGACCAAAAGACCTTTCGATATCTGAAGAGGCTTGTTACGAATCGGAAAAGCTCCCATCGCCGTCACACTACCTTTGCGTAGTGCGCCGCCACCACCAGTGGCCTTAATAGCCCAAGTAGGTTATTCGAAGTTACACGACATACCGTCCTCTTGATCCCATGACGGTGGCTAATATCGTCTTACGGGCACCCTTTCGCTTGGTCGAAAGCCGTCACGGTAATCTTTCGCAGAGATGGCGTTTTTCTTTTCTTCTTTTATCATTTTCTTGGCTCTGCTGGACACTCGCGGCAAGCATGGTTGACTGGCAGATTTGGTACGTCTGTTTGGCTGACACGATGCTGTGTGTCTCAGAAAACGTCCATTCATCACCTCCAGAGCGTTGAGTTGCACTCGGAGTGAATCTCCGTGATCATTCCATTCCATGTAGTGCCCTGCAACACTGTGCAGTGCTACATGAGCAGCAGAAGCTCGCCCAGTTGGGTAGTGTCTTGCGATGCAGCAGAGAGTTGATTGGCATGGAACGCTGCTGTCCAGTTGTACCTACGCGGTATTCAGTGTAGGTACCGTACACGTAGGCGCGGCAGGTACGTATATGTACGGCCCAGAACGACGCACATGTAACCGTTCGGATGTTTCCATTCCTCGGCGAGGGGCGCACTTTGTCGGTTTGCGTGCCCAGTGGTTGATTCCACCCCATGTACCTACCTTGCATACCGACTCAACTCCGCTCCTAAATCCAGCCTATCGGTCTTAGAGGTACCTAATTTTCCGCCCTAATATGTGCGGATGCACCCAACTTTTGCTTTTACAAAAGCGAATTCACACTTTGCGGGATGGCTACCGTTTTCTGTCATATTTCAAAGAAGAAACTGGTGTTGAACGAACTCACTGGCGACTGCGTCAGGTACGTACAGTGTGCTACTGCTTTTCCCAATCTTGCATGTACAGGGGTTCGCGCAATTGGGCGGTGCAGTTGGATGCGGATACGGCCGAACGGGCTGACATATTTGCTCAGTCTTGCAGAGCGCCGATCGAGTGGTGTTCGAAACACGGAACATGGTAGTTGCGGGTGTCGGCCCTGGAATTTGCGACAAGGTGCTGGCAACCGGGAGGGCGGAGCAGATATTAAGCTGGCTGATCGCAATACACCCGGGCGCATCCGGCTCTCTGGGCTGGCTCCCCTTCACAGGATACGCGGGGCCCGAGTCGTAAGGGCTCGGGAAGGCGGGGCAGGGATGACCCCAGCATTGGGCGAGCCTCCCTACTGCGTACAGCACTCAGCCTCTGTGCTGGACCCCGTCAATTCCATGTGAAACGCCGTGAAATAAGCGGATAGGGGCGTGTTGGCCTGTTGTACGCTCTCAGTATGTATGTGATGTACTCCAACCGGTACGACATCTGGAGGCATTGGTCTGTCGCTCCTGTCGCTCTGTAACTCGCTACACTCGGACTGACCCGAGGAGCCGCATCCTATGGTGTTGGAGAGCCATGGGATGGCCAAGTTTGTCGCGGAATGGTGCCAAGATGATCTAGGCTCGCCGTGTTATTTTTTGCGCGGGCGTCTTCATCGAGCAGGTCGAGGTAGCATCGGCATAGATCTGGTGGCTACAATAGCATCTGGGTAGCTTGGCCGATAGTGCTTGCAAGGTCAAGGTATGACCTTGGTAATGGTAGCTAGCGGCTCCCTAGCGAGCCAGCCGCGTTAGCCAACCGAACGATCCAGCGCCCTGCTGTCGTCGCTTGTAGATACTAGATGGGGAGTGATGAGATGATCTGGAAAGCCAAGAGAGGCCCATTTCCAACTGACGGGATGGTTATACTGAAGGCACGGAGACACTAAACCAAAACGGGAGAGAGGTGCATCATCTTTGATAACCAACCACCAGTCTACTGAGGGAGGGAACTCGCTCACGGGTACAGGTCCAAGTAGGTGTCGTCGGGATAGGCGGCGTGGTAGGCACAGGGCACAAGGCACAGACTGAAGCCTGCTTACATACCCCCCCTCCCCCCCCCCCCCCTTCTCAGATATACTAGTAGTGTCGGGTACTGTTGAAGGGATGGGTGGCTGCTGCTACCATGGCTGCTGTCGTGGGATGCCACGCAGATGATGGTAAATAGGTAAGTAATGGCCAACCTGATGCTAGCTGAACGGGAGTGAGATTGCTGAAACGGCGCCACACAAATTGCTGTCGCCAGTCCGTCCGTCACTAATTAGCGTATCTCGATATTATGGGCTTTGCTGGAGTGTCGTTGGCGGACTTGAGATTCGTCGTTAGAGACGCTCTGGATGTTGATGAGAAACGGGTTCTGACCAGTCGGAGTTCGTCTTTGTAAATCAAAAGCCGCTCACTGCAACAAGTGGAGAGAAGGAAAAGGACGGGACCAGGTTCCGGTTCGGCGCATTGCAAGGACAGGTCGGTACTTACTCGTAAGTACCGATTTTGAAACGGTGACCAGTGCAAGCGGGGATACCCAATAAGAGAGAGTGGGTTTCTGGGCTTGGTGGAAAGGGTGGAGCATCTAGGGCAGGGTTCCTTATCCGATTTGGAAGATGGACACCAATCTAACGAGACAGTTGTGGCTTGACATTCAGAGAGCGTGGCTGACATGGACCAGGCACACAATGAAGTTGAGAACATGTCCAATTCACACTCTTCACACTCCGACTCGACCATTCCCATTCCCGACCGAGATCCCGACGCGACGCACTACATACGTGTACTAAGCAATTTCGAGAACGAGATCGACGACAGATCGGTTGTTTCATTGTTCTCAATCTCATCTTGTTGCATTTTCGCTTTTCGACTTCTGCCCCTGCCAATTTGGTGAAAGAACCGCCAATGCTTACAACCGCGACTTGAAGCGGTAACTGCCCTGCCACTGTTTTCTTCTCGAGACAGTCACGACTAGGTACTGACTTGCCAATATGCCACATGTTGGCAAGACATCACTAATGAGCCAGCTCGAGATGCCCTGGATTCCGACTGGTCCAATCATCCGGCTGGCACAAATGAGGAGAAAAGCAAAGCGAGACAGCAACTGGAATGGATTGGACTCCCATGCTGAATCAGCAAGAAGAAGCCGCGCTCAATCGACACCACCACCGCCATGACCATTGGCATCATCAGTTCATCACTGCTACAGCATGGCAACCACCACGGACACCACCACTATTTGCGCCGCCACCGCCACAAAGCCAATATTATACTCGCAATACGCAAACAACGGTGTCATAAGCATCCAAGTTGGTGTCCCGAGGCGTGTGGATGTGCGGGTGTGTGGGTGTTTGACACCACGCTTCGGCCGGATCTCTTCCGAACATGACTCCGGAAGAGAAGATGGGCGGGCGGATGACGGAGCGGGTGACAAACCAACGTCCACGACACACTGCTCCAAAAATGAATACTGTTGGCGTTTTTTTTTTCTTCGGGACGAGTGGAGCCCGAAAGAGGAGGCGGTCTGTCTGCCCAACTGCCACCGTTTCATTCTCATTGCTCACTTTTTTCGTACCGAATCCCACACCACAGCCTGACACCTCGGTTGAAGCTACCGTAGCATGGAGCCAAGCCTCAGGTCGCCGAGCAGAAAGGCCCTCCACCCTCACCACCTGGTTCCCCTGTGCTTTCAAGCGCTAGGTACCAGGGCTTGAAAGGCTCCAAGGGCTTCATCACCGGATGCCGGCCGAGTGGAGAGCTCCCCACATGCCATCTCCATTCCATTTTCCCTCATCTTGACACTACCGGTGGACTCTGGGCTCCAGTTATTGGATCAGCATTCCCTGCTGATTCGCTAGGCCCTGTCGTGACGAAACTTTCCCCAATGGGCCCGGTCCTGGGAGAGCCTGGGAGCCTGGATCCTGAGCCAGATCCTAGCCGGGGTCCTAAAAATCGAACTTGCGAGTCGAGTCAACAACAACGTCGTCCTCGTCCCCCATCATCTTCCGCTGGAGCGGGTGCCGACGGGCTTGGCCCATACAGATCGCAGGAATCATGTAGCGCTGATCCGGAATTCTGCATTGACCCGGTAGGACAATATATCACATTACGGAAGTAGCTGCCATGTTCAAAGCAGTGCCACATGACAAGTCCTCCCTCGCCAGCTTTCTCTGCGCCCTCGGTGGCGGAAGTGGAATTGGAATCAGGCCTCAGAAACATATTGAATACGGGTACCCGGTACCGTTGATCATCCTGCGAACTCGGAATCCGGAGAGGGGCAACATAAAATGATGGGCTGGATGGTTGTCTGCTTTGGATTCGCTTGGCAAGGCGACATCCCGGTGGAATGGGCGCTATCAGACGCCACGCATTATTTTGGTTCTCTGGCTGCAACTGCTGTTTTCCAGTTCCACGGGTAGCCGAGCCTGATACCTTCTTCGAGGCAAAGCAGTGAGTGACCAGGGGGGAGATGCGGTACACGTAAATGTCGAGGCTCACACCGTCATCACGGATTATCAGGGTCCTGAAATTCCACCCAGACGGCGCTCTAGCGAATTACCGAATACTGCTTGCCTGTCACGGCTTGCATGATCCTACATTACGTGTAGCTGCCTGCTGCTGCGAACACTGCATGCCAATTCCATCCAAAACCTGGAACAGATGTTCATAGTACGGTGAGACGAGGAGGCTTGAGCTTGCACAGGTTCTTACGCAGCCTGCGTAGCCGGCAACTCGGGCATGAATGGCTCGGACAGCCAAGAGATACCGTCTTTCTGAACCATCTCGGGTCACTAGCATCGCGGTGCCTATTCTTGTACACTGCCGAGACTATGAACGTGCTCATAGAAATTGGAACTTCCCGCACCATTATTTTTCGCTGACTGAACTGCGCTAGCGGTTCATCAAGCAAGGAGCATCGGCGACGATCTCTCAAACCCCTTGCTCCAAAGCCCACTTGTCGTCCACGGTTCATCTTAGCCCCTAGCTCCCTCCATGTCGGCCTCCGCCATTCGCGCTAACGGGACAGGCCCGTGAGGCCCGTAGCGACCCCCCCCCTGGTAAGGAGCGCGCAACAATTGCGGACACTTGCGCACAGACTGCGGCAAGACGTAAGCCAACGGTTCGACGGCCTTGCTGACCTTCCCCGTTGCTACCCCCGTGCCCTTGGTATGCATGGCGTAACGGCGGGTTGCGGCTTCAACCATGATTGGGCGGCTAGCCCATCCACTGGGGCCGCTGCCATCCAAGCGCACGGCGTCTGATGTGCTGAGATCCGATGTACAAGTGCTTGTCACTGCCCGCCAGCGTGTGTCCCTACGCAGCACACAGTACTTTCTACATATTCTACGCGGTAGGTAAACATTACCAGCCGGGACTCAGCAGGTTGAGCCGAATGGTCGTTCGTGATCCGAGGCTGACAAACTCCAACGCGGGGCCCGGTACCTATCATAACTCAGAAGAAAAGCGACCAAACGGCAGTGCTCCTCCATACATACCTCTCTCGGGGCCTCATCCGGTGCGAGGAATCAACGGCATGATAGGCACATGTATCCGTTCTACCAGCATCCACTTTGACGGTCCCAACCCCGCCTACACCTCCTCGGTCGAAAAAAAAAAATGGATTACGCCCCGTTGCCCGCTCGTTTTCCTGCCTGTGCTCGGGGATATGGCACTTCAGACAAATCCGAAAAATGAGACGAACTCCCTGAAATAGCGTAACACCGAGCCAGTGATATTGTGGCAAACAAGGCGTGAGTAGTGAGAGGCTGACCTAAAGGGCCCTGAATGTACATCCCGCCGTCAAGGGATTGTATTGGATCTGTTGCTCAAATTCGAACAAGAATGCGGACGGTCAAGCCAACATGAACCAAAATTACTGCCCCGTACTGTGATTCTCCAAGCAGCCACAAGGGCGGTTCATACTAAGGCACGGCACTGCATTGTATTCGTCTTCACGATTCACTTTTTCCTTTCTTATTGGTTTCTTTGGCATGGTAATATTCCGTATGGACGATTGGCCATGGAAGCAAGGAAACCGGGGGCAAAATGGGCATACCAGGTCCGGGGTTCGTTGTCAGCGCGGCCCCTGGGTTCCTTAATCAAGATCCCAAAAGCCCACCGAACGGCTCTGCGTTGAAGACACACAGGGCAAAGAACAAAGAACGAGAAAAAGAAGATCTCACTGGTGGAACGTATCCTTGTGGCTTCATCTGATGTCCCTGGTCATCTACAGATGCAGGGGGTTCTTACGAGCGAGCAAAAGCCATGGACGGACTCAGGATACAAACCAGGACAAACAGTCTGGCAGTGATGCAGCACAATGACAACAAGAACAGGGGCCCCCAAGCATGCTTCGACGGTACGGTTACCCCATTACCGCTCCTCAGACATTGCGAGCAATGGCATAAGGTGTTGTTGCTGGCATTTCCTGGTGTTTCGGTGCATCGGTTGCGCCGAATACGGACTGCGCATGGGTTCGAACCTTCAGCTTTCCTCAACAAACACTCCCTGGGGCATATTACATATCACTTTCATGACCCCTTTTTTCATCATCTTTTCTGGCGTAGCAAGCTTACCACAAGTACCATTAGCTTTCGTTTCCGTTCTTCTCGGCGGTAGCTATGCTGCTTAGCGCATACTATGTATGAGCTAGAGACTGGACAAGTTGGGTACGGGGGATGCGATCGCTTCAACGCAACGCTAGACCGCATAAAGTAGCTTCACTTTCATGCTGCATGAAAGCCTGTACCCCCTCAGCCCTTTCCTTTGTATACCTACTAAGCTCACCGTTGTTACGCTACTCAGGCCTGCTTTTGCACCTCCTGTCCTTCTTCTGGTCACTTTCGGTTAGCCAATTTTCAGAGCTTCTTTCGCCCTGCGTGTATCTATGTATTGTTTCAACTGCCCTGCGTCCACACTTCACTTCTAGCAGCCGTTCCGCATCTGTAGATGCAAGGCGTTGGTTTTCACTGCTGAAAGGCCATCAATCCTTTCTGAGGATCACCGCCCATTAACTAGCAGATTGGAGAATCTAGACCACACTATACTGGGGACTATACCGGAATGGGGATCTGGAAGCACTGGAGGTTGTCTTTCACTACACTGCTGTATATCTTGAGGTTTCACCTACGTATAAGCTGCCACTGGCCATTCATATGGCGGAAATTCCCCCACATTCATCCCCTGACCCTGAAAGGAGAAGGAAGCACTAAGGGACAAGTACGGATAAGAAGGACAGACATCCGCCGGTGTTACTGATAGGGGCCGTCGTATGACCGCCTGTTGGTTGCAAAAAGAAGACTCGATCCGGGGATCTACTAGTACAGCACGATCCCGACTCAGACACCGAGGACAGCAACCACACCATAGGCAAGTGCAGCACGAAAAGGTCAGCGGGGCGAGCCTTTCAGGTTTGACGAAAGCCAGCCGCAGCATATTCGCGGATTATAGCGGCGGCGTTGAGGTTGCACGGCGCTGCAACACTGTGAGAACCTGGGCAGAATATTCCCAACAGAGGCACAATGGACGGTGCCTTGAGCGAGATTGGACCTTCAAAGCTTGAGACATTGTGTGAATGAGTCTTTGGCACAGGGGGGCTCGGGCCACAAAAACATAGAGGGCCCACGCACCTACACCTCCGCACCGACACGTTCTGTTCACCAATGCTCTCGCCGTGCCAAAGGGGCATATCACAACGGGTACCGGCCAGAGGAAGCTTGCGCCGTCTTCTATCGATATCTTTTTGAGAAATTGAGCGTCGCGAAAGACATGACCGAACGACGATAAAACACGAAACGAGCCTTCAAGCAATAGACAGTGGTGAAAACACCTACACGAATCATTGTTGAGCGCCGCATCTTCGAGGGCGTGCCTTAGTGCGTATCGATCCTCTGGGTCGGTATAAGAGAACCTAGCGCGCGTGGCCAGGGTGTGGAAAATTACGAGGTGAAGCGAGGAAAAGAGAAGAAAACAAGTTGTAAGAAAAAAAAGGAAAAAAAAAAAAAAAAAAAAAAGAAGCAGGCCAATGGCCTCGTGGGAATTGCCGGGGTCTGAATTATAAACCCCCGTCCTGGTTCGGTCTCCATTTCCCGCCAAACTGACGAGACCGCAAAAGGTCCCGTCTGCATGTTCCTCGACCGGCATCTCCCCAGAATCCATCCTATTGGGGACCTTGTGGAGACGGTTCCGAATCAGGCTGCTTTTGCCGGAAACTGCCTCCTCTCAAAATCCAGCACCATGGCAGCTGCGTCGTCGCACAATAACAATAACAAGCCATCATGCCCTCGATCCCCCGTTGACCCATCGACTGGCACTCCATTATTCGACGAGTCACCCGTCTCGTCGGCTACCTCTGCCAAACCGCATGCGCCACAGCAACCGTATCTTGGCGGCCTGACTAGCACGACTCCTTCTGCTACTGTACCAGGGACGACCCCGGCTTCATCGGTTCCGGCTTCAGCACCTCGCCCTCCTTCACCACGATCGCTGCCGCAGCCACCACATCCACCGAGGATCTCCACTCTGGCATCATCTTCGACAGAGAACCTTCTTAGCCACCAGGTCTCTCACCAGAACTCATCGTTCGACTCATACACGCCTGCCACAGCAACGCCCTTCACCATGGGAGGCCGAGACTCCCTCCCGTCCAACGACTCAGTATCTGGTACGCCGGGCCCTTCATCCGGCCACCAGTTACCCTCGTCCAGTTCACAAGCCCAGAAGCGGGCATATCGCCAGAGGAGGAAAGATCCAAGTTGCGACGCCTGCCGAGAGAGAAAGGTCAAGTGCGACGCGACCGACACTACCAGCTGCTCCGAATGTTCAAGCCGCAATGTCAAGTGCCAATTCACCAAGGAGACGAACCGGCGCATGTCTTCCATTAAGCAGGTGCAGGATCTCGAGAAGACGCTGGACAAGCTCAAACGGGAGAACCTCAACCTGAAGCGGGCTTTGGAAACCCAGGGTCACGGTGTTCATGGCCATGTTAACCATAGTCTAGGCCGTGGACAAGCTCACATGCCCATGGACCGCATGGACATTGACAGTGGTCCTGTTGGTGGCATGGGCATTGAGCAGATGCTTGCCCTTCTTCTTCCCGAGATAGGCGCCGAACCGAAGCCGAAGAAGAGGCCTGTCCCGATTCCTGCGCTTGCGCAAGCCCGGTCAAACATCCGAATCCCCGCAAAGGGAGTGTGGAAGCCGCCGGCGCAATATCGACATTCGCCAGCTGGTCCATCCATCTTTGACTACACACCGAGGCCCGAGTTGCCCTCGCAACAGACAACGGACCACCTGATGCGCTGCTATTATTCGTCCGCTCATACCATGACGCCTATTATACACTGGCCCACCTTCCGGCAAGAGGTTGATAACTTGTACAGGCCAGGAGGACTAACACAGCATGTGCCTACGTCGTTTCTGGCCATGTTCTACGCCGTTCTTGCTGTAGGCGCTCTGTTTTCTCCAGATCCGCACCGTTCTTACCGGGCAGCCGAATGGATCGAGGCCTCCCGGAAGCTTATTGACCCATGGGGTAACGACTTTGTGCTGGACCATGCTCGATCATTGGTTTTCATCAGTATTGCCCTCAATGAGCTCAACCTGAAGTCCGCGGCATGGAACTGGCTCGGTAACGCAGTCAAGGTGGCCCAGGACATTGGCTTGCACTCGGATATGGGTTCGTGGCCATTGATTGAAAAAGAGATGCGGAAGCGTACCTGGTGGTCCATCTACATCCTTGACCGCAGTCTAAGCCTCGAGCTTGGGCGACCCATGTTGATCGATGATGTCGACTGCGACGTGCCACTCCCCATGGGCGTGGATGACCACTTTATACGCGACAACGGAATGGTTGTTCCCAACGGCGCCGAGCCCCTTACTCACTCGCTGCTCGCCATCACACACGTTGTGCGATCATACACTGCCCTCGGCCGACTGCTTTCTTTATCCGGGAATGAAGGACCAATGCTTCACAACCGAAACGAGTTTATGAGTCCAGCAATCCCGCCTGCTCGGCTCGCGACCTTTGATCAATACTTTGCATCATGCCTGCGTACCTTCCCTCCGGCGTGCGACCCTTCTTCTGGCTCCCCACTCGCCCCGGTACTGCTCAACCCGCTGATCTACCTCCTACATGCGCGACTCCTGCTTCATCGCCAGAACCTTTCTCCGCAATGCCCACCCGATTCCCGTCTCCTGGCTGTGGAGCAGTGTACAAACATTGCGTTGGAGACTGCTGCTTACCTGAAGCGCATGACACCTACCCTTCCCGAGGGAGCCACAGCGCTCACGACCACGCACATCTTCCGGTGCGCCTTGTTCCTCCTGCTCATCGGCCACTTGGACCAAGCTCTCGTGTGTATACGGGAGCTGGCAGCGATCAATACCAATAGGGAGGTTGCCGTTCCCTGTGGACGTTACCTCTTGTTCTTCGTTGGCGTTGTAGGACAAAAGAGGAGCGACTATCTTCAGAGGATCATGATGACGGGGAGCCCAGAACCGGCGCCCGTGAGGTTGAGAAACGCTCTGGTAAGGGATGAGGAGCTGATTGCATATGTGAGCGCGGATCTGCAGGCGCGGCCCGATACAGCGTGGATCTGGGCAGGCGGAGAGCAGGACCATGCAGCAGCTGCGGCGGCGGCGGCGGCGGCTGGACGTGTAGTGGGGAGCACCAGCGGCTCAAGCCATGGAGGAGCAAACGGATTGGGAACTCTTTTCAGCGAGGAAGCCAAGATGGGCTTGTCGAAGGAGGAAATCAACGAGTGGAACGTCAACAAGGGCTGGACGAGACTGGACGAAATGGTGCGCGGATTAGCTCACCCGCTTGCGGTACCGTTAGCACAGGTACCAATGGTGCCATCGACTTTGAGCCAAACGCCAACTTCAGCCACCAGACCTACACACTCGTTGGCTTCAACACCCACATCCGCCACTGCTCCTCCTCCTCCTCCCCCGTACTCACAAGGCCCGCCGCCACCAGTAACGGTCTCCGGGCCCCATCCTCCTCCTCCTCCTCCCGTGCACTATAGCCATCATGCACCACCGCCACCACCACCACCACCACCGCCGCCGCCGCCACCTCGAGGACGTCAAATGCCACCAATTCAACCCGGACCCAGCCCGCAACAACCGCCCCCGCCAGCAAGTTGGGGCCATCCCACGAGCGGCCCGACCCTCCCTCCCCCGCAACAGGCCCGATCTCCATACATCCCCCCGCATGCGCACCACCCCCAGGGTCCTCCACCACCAGCACAACCCCCAACGCTCCCTAGTATCTCACCAGCCGGCACTCCCCGTATCAAGAGCGAACCCGGACTGCCATCCCTACCACCCCTTGGAGGAGACAGAGATGATAAACGACCTATCGGCTTGGGAATTGGTGGCGGTGGTGAAAGAGGACCGGCAAGTGCCATAAGCCCCTCCAACAGGGCAGCGGTGCTTCAGAGCAGCGTAGGCGGTGGACATGGAGCGGGTAGTCCAACGCTGAGTGTCAGCCGCAGCCCAATAAGTGCGACGACGACGCCGACGACGGCCATGATGCCGAACGGAATCTTGAATCCGATCGGTGGGAAGGAGAATGCGAACCTGAAACCGCCGGCGATTAAGAGTCAGAGTCAGGAGAGGATAAGCATTGCCAACATTATTTAGAGGGCAATGTAGGTGAGGAGATAGATGGAGTGATTGTCTGAGTGGGTATATATGATGGGAGAGGTGGTGCATCGTAGCGCATAGCATGGCATGGCATACAAGCATCGCATTGCGTTTGCAAACAGTTGCGGGCACACCCTCTCTTTTCTTTATTATGTTCAATTTCTGGTTAGTTTACGGTAGCGGCGGGTCAGGATTGATTGGGAGAAAAAACAAACAAAAAATACTACACATCTTGGGAAAAGGAGGAAAGCAGGTATACACAAACGCATAAGCCTCATTAGAGGCTGACAGAAAGAAACACAAAGGGCTTCAATCAACTTGGGTTTTACAATGCATGGTAAAAGGGTACGGGGAATAGTTTCTTTGGACAGGAAGGTCGGTGGTTTGGACAAGACGGGCGGCTGTCTTGACGGGATATATAGTTTGGATGGAACGGCTACTCGGAGACAGGCAAAGTGACACCATTTTCTTGCTGGTGTTTACGATTTTGACTACACTTTCTTTTATTTTTGTCATATCTTATCTTCATATTCGGATTTGGTTGCCTTTCTTGCTGTACGCTTTGTAGTACATCATGAATGAGAGATGGACGGTGGGCATGGATGGTTTTACTATGTTTGTTGATATACTGGGGATGAGAGAGGAGTGGAGGGCGAGGCTGGAAGAGGTTGGGGAAGCCTCTCGCCAGGGAATTGCGCTGAAAGGCGCAAGTGCTGAAGAATCAAACAAGCAGCTGAAGCTGTGTTATTGATGCTGAGATATCCTGTCCTAAGTGCTCTCCAGGTTGGTGAACTTTTTGCCCCCGTCCTTTGTTTTTTCTCAGTCGCCTTTGCTTTCGTGAATTTATTCAACAATCCAACCGATTGTTACCCGCTGTCATTTCCCTCAGACAACTAACTACAGACAATCGGACAAACTTACCACAACTGGACAATAGCAAAACAGAGGCTCAACCACTTTGAGACAGTCAGTCATTGAACCGGTCAGATCTGGTAACATGTTGCACGGATGTGCCACCTTGCCTACCACAACACCCAAGTTCTGTATGTCGGGTACCGGTATCGTACTGGCACAACTAAACGGTGCAAAAAAAAAATCTTGGTGTGGTTACACGACGAAGAAGAAGCAGGAGAGCCCAAAAGAAATTCGGGAAGAAGCATCCGTACTCCCTTCCGTCCGTTAAGTCGCTTCGGTCACCCGTGTCATGTCCGTCTCGTATTTCTTCTTCTTGTTCTTCTGGGTGGCGTTTGGTGTTACATGACATGTGACAAAGTGGGAAGAGTTCAGTTGCAGTGGGGGCGGTATCCGAGACCGGGTTTGAGACCCGAACCATATGTAAGATACTGTGTAGAGGTAGGTAGCCCCTCTCTCGGCTCGGGGAGGTTACCGCTATAAGGTTGTGTGCGTGAACAATGCAACATGGGATGAAATAAATCTAGAGGAAGGAGAAAAAAAAGACATGTGATTTTGAGGGAATGGGAGGAAAGCTACCTACTTGGTGCACGGAAAAGAGAATGGAAACACGGCTGTCGCACCAAGAAAGTGTAGGCTCGGTGACCATTGATTTGGCCAATAGGAACAAACACCGAGGACGTTTTACCCCTTTTTTGGGGGGGGGGCTTCGTGAAGTAAACAAAGCGACAACTAATCCAGTGATTGCACCACCTCTAGAAAGGTTGGCAGCTTGACGTTTGCCAGTGACGTTGAAGGCACCTCTATGTAAGAAAACATATTGGTTTGTTTCATCCTGTACTATATCGCTAATACGGTACCCTGCCCACTTCTGACCCCCGACGGCGACTCCAGCTGAAAATCCGTATCGTTGAATGCTGTCCTTCCATTCGGAACCTCTAAGCAGAAAAAAAGGTGCGAAACCAATTTTCTCACTGCCAGCAATGCATCCTATCACCATTCGCGTGACGGTTCGTTGAAAATTCTTGCAAAGGGTTCCCCGTCGCTTCGGAAAGCATGCGGCAAGTGATCCGAGTGGTTATCGTCGAGCCGTGGTTCCGAACGAGCGAAGCATTACGAAGCGATCATGCAACCTCGACGGGGGTCCAAAAGTCCTACACGAGGGAGCGAACAAAACTTCAACAACCCATGGTGAAAGGACATTCATTTTCAATTTTCATTGTCATGAATAGATAAACAATAAATTTGATCGATGACGATGCGTGTCGGAACCAACGGCAACGGTACAACGGCAAGGCAAGGCAGGGCAAGGCAGATTCCGGCAATTGCATAAAGTTGGGCGGTTACCGCGATTGGCATGTACAGGTACCGAACCGAGTTCCGAGACCGGCAACGCTTCCGACGGAACACGGCACGGTTTCGTTGTTGCATTCATGGCTTCAAGTTCTCGGGCACTCACTCGGAGGCCTTCCGAGACTTCGATCACAGATAAGCCTTGGCGGTGCGCGTACATGCTGGGTACGCCGTGCACAACCTGGTAGGGTAGGGGGGGTATGGCTTTTGTTTGCTTCTTGGCTCTTTTTTCCAATTTTTTGACCGGCCGGGAGTAAGATTGGTGGAGGGAATCATTGACCAATCGATGATGCGTTCAAATATGCCAGTGGTGGTTTGTGTAACGATGGGTCGTTGTCTAGGATGATGAAAGTTACGCTATGGTGGTGTAATGGTAATACGCGGATGTTTGATTTTTACACGGAACGGATGTGAACCCAAGTGACGAAAACCCCACTTTCTTTTCTCGACTTCCGTCTCTCACTGAAAACAGCGATGATCATCAATAACATCCTGTGGCTTACCATCTTCTCCTTGGGTACCGTACCAGTTCAAGCACAAAGTAAACAGAAACCACTGTCTACACCCAACAGCAACAACAACAACAACAACAACAACAACAACAACAACAACCAAATGGCGGACTACAACCGTTCTTCGAGTGGTGGTTGGAAACCCGTCCTCGACCCCACCGACAACAAGACCATCATCGGCCACCACTGGCGCCGCCATGACTACGTCCCCGGCGAGGAAGCCTTGGCCCTCCAGACCCTCGACATGTGGATTCCCATCTCCCCGGCCGCCTTATCCTACGGCAAACCTACCCCCAACACACTGCTCGGGGACGGAGCAAAGGCCCCCTGGCTCATCTACATCCACGGCGGCGCCTGGCGCGACCCCGCCATCGACTCGTCCTCTTTCAACGCAAGCGCCACCAAAATCCTCTCGTACCTCGCTCAACAACCCCTTGAGCAAAGAAAGAAGACAGTGGCGGGGATCGCCTCCATCAACTACCGCCTCTCCCCCTACCCTAACCACCCTATCCACCCTTCTAACGACCCGTATGACCCCAACCGCACCGCCAAGCACCCTGACCACATTGCCGATGTGCTTACCGCGCTGGGGTTCCTCCGAAACTACTTTGGAATGAAGGAGTACGTGCTGGCGGGCCATAGCTGTGGCGCGACGCTGGCGCTGCAAGCCTGCATGTCGCCCGAGCGGTGGGGGCTGGCTGGGACTGCAGAGTGGCGCGCAGGATGGTATAATGTAGCAAAGCCAAAGGCAGTGGTGGGGTTCAACGGGTTGTATGATCTCGCGGGTTTCATTGCGGATCCCCCGAAAGGTTATGAGAGGTGGAGGGAGGCGTATAGAGAGTTTGTTGTCGGCGCGTTTGGGAAGAAGGAGGAGGATTGGAAAAAGGTGTGTCCTGGGAGTATCGCGGAGGGGTGGGTGAGGGAGTGGAATCTGACTCAACAACAAGGGGAAGAAGGGAAGAAGAGGAAGGTGGTGCTGGTGCAGAGTTTGGAGGATAGCTTGGTGCCGGTGAAGCAGACGGAGGGGATGGCGGAGTATCTGGAGAGGGAGAACCAAAAGGTGGCAGACGAGGGTAAAAAGGTTGAGGTGGTGGTGTTGCGGGAGGAAAAGGGTGGTGATCATGATGAGGTTTGGAAGAAGGGGGAGAGGTTGGGGGAGATTTTGCTGGGGGTTTTGAATGGGGAGATTTGAGCATCTGCTGTGATAAGCTACGGGTTACATGGGCTTTTGTTCGGTTGGAGGCAAAAGTATGCCCTTTTCAAACATCCATTGAGCGTGGTCAAGGTTCCCAGACAATTACACATTGCATGCAGAGAAAAATTGCTGGTTTAGCCATGTTGAACGCAATGGCTTGAAAGCCTATTTATCCGTACTACATCAGCGTCAAAAGACTATGAAGCAATCCTTTAGAGTCTTTTTCAAGTCTGACGAGTATAGTCCGTGTAACAGCGACTACTGCAATGGGCTGAATGTGGGCGAATAGTCTTTGAGACATTGTGGTTGCACGGGGAGTTGAAGAGACTTTTGGAGCACCACATCACATTGGACATTGGCAGTCAACGGACCAGCCAAAAAATGATTGTCTTTTTTCAGAGCGTCGAAAGCAAGATATCACTGGACTTGACTTGGGCTATGGAGTGCGAATTCCCGGGCTGTGATTGAACATTCCGCTATGTATGGCATATTCCTTGTCAGAGACAGCGGATGGCAGCCGATGAAATCACAAGCGATCTATGAAAGTATCAGTCGCATGGAGGCTCCCGCGTACCTCTAGGTAGGTTACGGTCAATCCGACCACAACCCCTGAAACTCAGCTGCCTCTTAGGGCTGGAACTAGGCTTGTCTTTAGTCGTGGCTCCCACGTGGTGCTGTACAAGGGATTATTATATCTTGACATCAGACCTGTCATTCCACTGCTGGATGGGCCGATTTGGCTGTGTTACTCTGGACCATTCAATGGCATTGTATTTGCCCCTCCGTACCCAACAGTGGTAAGCTGCCGTGGCTGGTATACCGATATCACCGTATGACCAGCACAACATGAAAATGCCGCTGAACAGTAACTTGATTTGTCTGATGATCGAACCACCAGGCGGACCCAGCCGGTGGTGAGCGGAATGAGGGGTCGGGTCGATTCCAATGGCAAATGGAAACCGATCATGTTCCCATTTTCAATTAATCAGCTTTACGCTGGGCAGATCGAATGGCAGAAGGTACTGAATCTCAGGCGTCAAAGGAAGTCTATACAGTAAAAGCACCCTTGGAAGAGAGAATACTATACCTATTCTGGTGCAACATGTCTTAACTTCCAGGTTGTCGTTGGAAAAGCTTGGCAGTCGTGATGTCATGCGATGCGGGGTAGCTGTTTCACGTCGTTTGCCCTTAGCCTATGTAGTGTATGTACTGTGTAGTATTCAACCCGTCTAAATCAACAAACAGCCTGGGTGGAAGCACAAACTTCCTTGGTTGTTCTGTATCACCAATTGAGCCCATCCAGGCAGTTTCCAACTCACCTTTTGACCTTCAAATCATCAAATAGTGATGTTGGCCTGTTAAATCATTACATAGGTATGTACCTAGTCAGCAGGGGGCAGAAACAAGCAACAGACAAATGCGGAAAAGTGGAGCTTGACTGTTGGACGTTGGGTTGTGGAACGTCCCGCACCCCGCCAACGTCGGTTTGTGATTGGTCGTCTCCACACTACCACTTACACGGGAAGCTCCTTCCAGCTCTGTTACCTTTTAGAATTCGTCAATCATGGCACCCTCGAAATGAGCTGCGTCACCGATTGGGAAAGAACCAAACAGATGCCAAGAATCACGATTGCCCAAAAGATGTAGCATTGGTACCTTCCTGTTCCTGTTGATTGCATACCTATCGATACTACCTACCTCTAGTATTCATATATATAATTTGGGCAACCCCGTACAACCCCTCCTTCCCGTCTCTTGCTCAATCTAACCATCTCCAATTCCAACAATATCGAGTCTACTTTGGTTGGCTCTCCCAATCGCATCGCAAGGGCTTCGTGTCGTCGGTGTCTTTCTGTCGGTTCGGTCTGTTTCAGCTTCAACCTCCGCTACCTCGTAAGTGGTTCACCAGGAGACGGTCATGGAGAAGCTCCCCTCGTCAGCTCGTCTTACCATGACGGCCTCATCTTGTCTTGTCCTGTCCACACTGCCCCTCTTGACGCCGTCCCTTTCCCAAACCAACTTTTATGAAAACGGACTGTTCATACTGACAATCCTGTCCGCTATATCCAATATCCAGACACCATAATACCATTATATTCCCACGTATCAATCTTTGCAAAACACTTCCAAAATGGTGCATCTTACTATCATCCCCAAGGAGGACGAGATCAGAGACGGGCTCGACATTCCACTTACGGGCGCCCTCAAGGCGGTCCATCTTCAGCTCGCCAATGATGAAGACCGTTTCACTACGAGCGTGTACGGCTCAAAGTTCGCCGCCGCCGACTTACCCCGCCATGAAATGCCCGATGGGGAGATGCCCAAGGAAGTTGCTTACCGCATGATCAAGGACGAGCTGAGCCTGGATGGCAACCCATTGCTCAAGTATGTCATAGCATCATGCGTCTCTTCTTTCAATATCCATTTGCTAACCAATTCACCACAGCCTCGCCTCGTTTGTTACCACATACATGGAGGAAGAAGCTGAAAAGCTCATGACCGAGTCCCTCCCCAAGAACTTCATCGATTACGAGGAGTATCCCCAGACGGCCGATATTCAGAACCGCTGCGTCTCCATGATTGGCCGCCTCTTTAATGCTCCAGTAAAGGATGCGGAGGCTAGCAGCGCCGTCGGAACATCGAGTGTTGGCTCTTCTGAGGCCATCATGCTCGGCGTCCTTGCCATGAAAAAACGTTGGAAGAACAAGCGTATTGCCGAGGGAAAGCCCGTTGACAAGCCCAACCTGATCATGTCATCCGCCGTCCAGGTCTGCTGGGAAAAGGCCACTCGTTACTTCGAAGTGGAAGAGAAGTTCGTCTATTGCACACCCGACCGCTACGTCATCGATCCCAAGGAGACGGTCGATCTGGTGGACGAGAACACCATTGGCATCTGCTGCATTCTTGGCACAACATACACTGGCGAATACGAGGATGTCAAGGCAGTCAATGACTTGCTTGTGGAGAGGGGGCTGGACACACCAATCCATGTGGACGCCGCCAGCGGAGGTTTCGTTGCCCCCTTTGTCGTACCCGATTTGGAATGGGATTTTAGGTTGAAGAACGTTGTATCCATCAACGTCTCTGGCCACAAGTACGGCCTCGTCTATCCCGGTGTCGGTTGGGTCGTCTGGCGTTCTGCCGAGTACCTTCCCCAGGAGCTGGTTTTCAACATCAACTACCTCGGTGCGGACCAAGCCTCCTTCACCCTGAACTTCTCCAAGGGTGCTAGCCAGGTCATCGGCCAGTACTATCAGCTCATCCGTCTTGGCAAGCACGGCTACCGCGCTATCATGTCCAACCTGACGCGCACAGCTGACTACCTCGCTGAATCGCTTGCCGCTCTTGGATTCATCATCATGTCCCAAAAGTCTGGTCAAGGCTTGCCTTTGGTCGCATTCCGTCTCAAGGAGGATCCGGACCGTACCTATGATGAGTTCGCTCTTGCCCATCAACTTCGTGTGCGCGGATGGATCGTCCCCGCGTACACCATGGCGCCCAAAACAGAAGGGCTGAAGATGCTCAGAATCGTTGTCAGAGAAGATTTCTCTAGGAACAGGTGTGATGGGCTCATCAGTGATATCAGGTCGTGCCAAGGTATCCTTGAGCAGATGGACAAGGAAACTGTCAAGAAGCAGCAGGAGTTTATCCACAAACATCATGTTGTAAGCGGGAAGGCATCGCACAACCATCCTAAATATCACGTAAGTACCGTAACAAGGTCCCGTGCTGTTGTTTCTGTGTGGATCGACGACCCCTTGAAGAGAGACACGCTGACCACGTACTATAGAAGGAGAAACACTCGTTGCAGGGCAAGACGGGGAAGACGCACTCTATCTGCTGATTATCAGCTCGCTAACTGCCTCCATGGCTGCAAAGACAGCCTATGATTATCTGACCTTGTCAAGATACTGTGGTCGGAAAGTAATGGTTCGCGGAACCAAGCAACACCAGGGTAAGGGTGCGGGTCAGAAGTTTGGCCTTGATCTTCCTGGTGGGAAGAAGTTGCTTACCCTCCGCACCGGGGCTTAGTGGGCGTTGATATAGGAGACAAGCTAAGGATTCTCTCTAATACGTGTATTTTATTTCATATTTCACGAGCCGTTTTCTTGGCAAGGAAAATCAGCACTATGGTCAGGAAAAGACCAACAATGAGCACTATATGACCCCGACTCGAACTCATTTGTGGACTTGTTTGATTTAACAACTCTACAAAACCATACCCAAAGCCTATCCAAACCAATGCATGCAAAACTACCACTATACAAAAAGAGATGCAGCCAAAAGAAATTCGAACTATGTACAAAGACCCTTATTCATAAGACATATACATGTATATCCAATCGGCCTGTTTCCGAGCACTTTTCCCTTTTCCTCTCCGGGTATCATGCCGCTTACTGCTTAGTAGTAAAAGCACCAAAGTACTTCTCCAAGGCCTCCACCGTCTTGCCGCCCTCCTCGAGCTTGCACACAAAGCCCACATAGCCATCTGGCCTCACAACGACCACACCGCCCTTGTCCTCGTCAAAGCCCATCTTCGCATGTGCCGCCGCCTTGGCGTCGGGCACCCTGCGATCCCACCGGTCGTCCGCATAGACATTATCCCTGTACCGCGCCAACAGCGCAGGCAAGTCGCGCGAGATCTCGACCTCGGCGCGCTTGGCAGCAAAGACGGTCGCCAAAGTAAAGAACTTGCTGTGCGGGTTGTGGCGCTCGTGGTGGCTGACGGTGTCGATGTCGGGGCGCTGGAAGCGGGAGAAGAAGCTGTCGGGCTTCTGGAGACCGGCAGCGAGGGATTCCAAAGCGGATTTCTGGGCGGGGGAGGTGAGAGAGCCGGCAAAGATGAAGAGGCGGAAGGAGCCGTTGAGGGGGATTTCTTGCTCGAGGTGCACCACGTTGGCATCGACGACGCGGGTGACGGTGGAGTTGATAAAGAGACGGCCGGGCACGAGCTTGGTGGTTTGGTGCTCCGGGGAGAGAATGGTCGGGGAAGTGCCGGCCGGGTGGTGGGCGGGGGAGTAGTTGAGCGCGTTGGGCTTGTAGAAGACGCCGTACCCGGACGTGAACTCGCATGCCTCCTTGAAGGTCTTGATGAACTCGTTTTCTTCGGCCGACTGCTGAGCGTCCGGGTTGGTGTGGGTGCCCGAGGCAGTGGCCTGGGCGGTGGAGGCGGCGTCGGGCCGCTGGGAAAAGAGCTTGGCGTACTTGTTGTCGAAGGCGAGCAAGGTCTCGGCGACGTCCTTGCGCTCGGGCTCATAGGTTTCGAGAATGTGGCGGTCGGCGAAGCCGCCTTCGACGGCGTGGATCTTCCAGGCGAGGTTGAGCGCGTCGAGGAAGGCCGTGTTCATGCCCTGTCCGGCCTTGGGCGAGTGCGTGTGGCAGGCGTCGCCGCCGAGGAAGACGCGGTGGTCGAGCGTGTACTTATCGGAAATGCCCTGGCCGATCGGGTAGACAGAGTACCACTCGACGCGCTCCCACTCGATGGAATAGGGCGCGAGGATGCGCTTGGCGGCCGCCTGGACTTCCGCCTCGGTGGCGGTCTTGCGCGGGTGGAAGTCGGGGTCCGTGGAAGAGGCGATCTGGATGTACAGACGCACCATGTTGGCCTCGCGCGGGATTACCATGATGGATCCGTGCTCCGAGTGGATGGTGCACTTCATCTTCATGTCGGGGAAGTCGGTCTTGACGACGCCGTCCATGACGCCCCACACGTACGAGATGGGGTTCTTGTGCGTGATGCCGATCTTGAGCTGGTCGCGGATGAAGGAGCGGGCACCCTCGCCGCCGAAGAGGTACTTGGCCTTGACGGTTTCCGTCTTGCTGCTGTCATCCACGTGCGCGAGCTGGACGGTTACGGGGTACTCGGGGTCGGCCTTCTCGTCCGAGGTGAAGCCGGCGATGGTCCAGGGGCGCTGGATCTCCGTGCCGTTCTTCTCGAGGTCGGCGATGAACACACGCTCAATCAGACCCTGGTGCAGAAGGGTGGTGAAGGGGTAGCGGGCATCGATAAATTCAGGACAGCTGGGCCAAGTGCCGGTACGCACGATGCCGCCGCCGGTCTTGGGAGGGTCCCAGAAGGCGACCTCGTAGACACGGGCGGGCTTGTGGGCCATGATGGCGGACTTGAGACCCATGTTTCGCAGAAGATCAAGAGACCGGGGCTGGATACCATCGGCACGACCGGTGGCGGTGGGCTCGGGCCTGTTGTCGATGTGCTTGATCTTGTAACCCCATCGTGAGAGACAGGTCGAGAGCATGAGGCCTACGGGGCCGGCACCGACAATGACTGTGGGGTGTGTTAGTGATGGGTGTGCGAATATCTACTGAGTGAAGGGACTTCACTTACCGATGTCATAGCAGTTATCTGATTGTGTCGCCATGGTGTATAAATGTGTATGTGAGTGTGGTTACTGGAAAAAAAGGAACGAAACCAGAGACAGAAGAGCAATGAAGGGGGGTATCTTGAACAGGAGATGGATGGACGGACGGATGAATGAATAGAAATGATAATGGATGGTCAATCAACAGAGACAAAGAAGAAGCGGAGGGAATCACGATTTAGTAATTATATCTCAATCCTCACGACAGGGTAAAACGCCGGCCATCTCGCAACACACACCGAAATCCGGGATGGATTCCGAGAATTGGGGAACACCAAGATCGGGGCAAGTGTATCCATAGTGTAGAGATGAACCGGTTCACCGCGATAGGCTTTGTCCAGGCGAGCGGGCGAGGGATCCCCAAGAAGTGCGGCAAGCGGACCCGGTATGTAGAGTAGTGTATTGGTGAGATTTGACAGCTCCTGTTCCAGACACAGCAGTGAGGCACGGCAGAAAGGGGACACACAACTGGGTCAGAGGAGTGTGAGGCTTGGTGGCACCCAGAGGGCTGAATAATGCTGTGCTCCTTGAAAGAGAGCAAAAGGCTGCATCATGATTGGCCAGATCACTTTGTTCGGATCCGTCCATGGGTGTCCTGGGGCTCTGTGCTACGTTGTGGTTCGTCGGAAGGATGGGTAGGATTGGGTGAAGGAAGACGGGGAGGGGAAGGTCGGGAATGGAACACGGTAGTCGTTGGTGGGGCCGCGGGCGGTAGTGGGATACAAGTGGATGTTCACAGGCGGTACAGTACAAGTGCAGTCTGCCACGGGGTTACCAACGGCTGCGGCCTCGGGACAGGGAAAAATAAACATTGTCCCCAGGGCAGTTCCCCACAGCAACCATAGCAACCACGACTTGCCGTCCCGAAGCCCAGGCCCGAACTCCAGGCCAGGATAATCCCGTTGTCACCGATGATCTGTCCTGAGATCTTGGTCCGGCTTTTTTTTTTCTCTTTGGTGTTTTTCTCCTTTTCCAGGGCCTGTGTTTTGCCAGCTACCATACCGCGTACACTAGACCAGCTTGTTGCCCCCCTGAAACGTGGTGGGGTCGGCGCTTGTTTACTTGCTGAGCTTTTGGGTTTCCTTGTCCGTGTCACGAATGACACAAAGCCGTTTCCTTTGCCGTCGCCAACACGGAAAGGGAGAAGCCCGTGATAAGATCGGATTCCCTGTGGACAATTGAGCTGTCACCGCTCTCGGGAATTTTGACCCTAAGCCCCTTCCTTGATGATCATCAACAGCGGTCCCCCGCTTTGCCGCCATCGCTCTCGTTCACGGCTTCCCCTTGGCATTCCAATTCTGCAGACGAAGAAACGGTTCACGGATGTCGGAAGGGCCCCTAGAAAACATCGACATACAATAGAACACAGTAGACAACATCGGTCTTCACAGCGTCACCCAGAATGTGTTTGTGCTGCTTACGGCTCTTTGAGGAATCCATCTCGCTGTGGGCCTTGTGGAGTCGCAATCCCACTGCGGGCGGCCAACTCCATCCTTTACCCCATGGGACCGACTCGCCCAGCTCCACGATAACGGGGCCTCTTCTGCCTGACAACCCAGAAGCATCTATCATTCTTCCACCCATTGCTTCCTCAGCATGACAGCCTTTGTCTCTAGTAAACCCGACACCTGATGATGGCCAGATGTCAACAAAGTCAGACACTAGTCGTCGCAGCCGCAGCCACAATGGTTACACGGACTGTTGTTGTCGTCGAGACAACACATCATGGTGACCTACACTAGAGATGATGTCTAACGGAGATTTATTTGTCATCTGCCCGATTGGCCGTCATACAAGACAAGTCGGTGCCAGGCAGCAACTTGTGACACATCCATACTTCACCTCTTGAAACAACGTAAACTCTCCTCCTAATTCATCCCTACTGCTCACGCCCATAATGGGATCCCAAATCGAACCGCGACAACTGAACAAGCTCTGTCAGAAATGCCAGCAAATCTTTCCTGTGACGGGGCCTTGGCCTTGGGACCGACCAGAGCCTGACCAAGTTTTTTCGGGCGGAAAAGAATGGCACTTGGGCGATTTCACCATCGACGAACTCGACGAATCTGCAACTACCGATGGCTGTCACCTGTGCCGCATATTCCTCGACTCCTTGATTCCCATTCCCAAATTAATCATTCTGAGAAACTATCACGGCTACACAACTTGGAGGGAAGACGTCAAAACAATCACGTTTCATCTCAGATTGGTCAACCGTGATTACGACCCTGACAACTACAACTTTTCACTGGGTCACGATGGCGAACCCTCTTATGGGGGCTCGTCGATTGACTTGAAACCTGTTACTCCGAAAGATTCACCCTTTCAACCGTCTTGGGTAATACGTTCCAATCATCTCCCATATGGCTGCAAAAACAGCCCTTCTCCGGTGACAATCTTTCAACCTTCATCAACAACAAACTTCGATCCGCTTGCTCTTGACCAAATCAGGAGCTGGATTCACGACTGCACCCATAACCACGTGGCCTGCAGAGGAGCATCGTTGGTTCAGAACAGTATGGCCGAGTTCCTGGAAAAGGTGCGCTTTATTGATGTCGGACTCGATGACACGGCTACGGTTCGCTTGGTGGAGAGAATCAAGGACACAAATGTCAAATATATCACCCTCAGCTACAGGTGGACTGCAGAAACACCAAAAACGAATCTGAAAACCCACAACAAGGACAAATACCATCAATCGATCCCTACCGAGAACTGGCCCCAGATATACAAGGATGCCGTTGCTTTATCTCGCACCCTCGGTATCCGTTATGTATGGATCGATTCGCTTTGTATCATCCAGGACGATGGGAAAGACTGGAACACTCAAGCTTCGTTGATGCATCGTATTTACACCCATGGCTACCTCAACCTCGCCCATGCATGTGCCGAATTCTCACCAGGCCTCGAGGTCACCCGGGACCCAATCTCTGTATCGCCCTGTGTTCTTGCCCGTACTCGTACTGCCAGCTCGAGGGAATACTGGGCTTGTTTTGTGAACTACACTCCGTCATCAGACCTTGCACGTGCTCCACTCTACTCGAGAGGATGGTGCTATCAGGAGAGATTTTTGGCTACGCGCACTGTTCACTTTAGCCAGCAGCTCTATTGGGAGTGCAAAGCCGGACACGCTTCTGAATCATTCACAGGAGACAAGGGATTGGCTTGGTCCAGGGGTTCTGCGAGCAGTAACCCAGACATACTCACATCTGCTGATCAAGCCAACGACCAAAGCTTTTCCACTGTCTTTGGTGTGAGCACGGTATGGCAAACAATAGTCCGTGACTATAGCCAGACACAGCTCACGCAATATTCGGACAGGCTGGCCGCTTTGAGAGGTGTTTTCAACAGATTCTGGGAAATGTTTGATGGATCACAGGAGCGCGACTGGTGTGTAGCGGGGTTGTGGAAGAAATATCTGATACGGCAGCTGATATGGTACCGTGTTTCGCATCGTCACGGCCACTATGACGAGTTCGAGAGGATACGGGACACCGCATACCATGCATCATTCGAAAAACAACTTGCTGGCTTCCCATCGTGGTCTTGGGCTTCATGTCCAACCTCCCCGGGCTCATCCTCCATTGCTTGGCCGGGTCATACAGAACCAGAATACCAAAATGAACCTCTGGTGGAGGTTGAGACCATCATTCCACTCAACTCTCAAGCCCTTCACCTTGGCTATCCTGGCTTCGAGTCCTCCGCACTGATCTTGCGCACTGCGTTCGACTTCCTCGGTTTTGACGCCGAACAGCTTCTCTCAAAATGGGAGTCCTGGTATTCTACGTGCAAAGCTGACGCCCGAGCGTATAACGGTGACATGTGCCAGTTTCAGGTATTAATAAACCTTGATCGGCCAATAATAGGCGTTGTCAAGAAAGAAGATCTACGGCTGCTCTCTATCAGCATGGAGTACCAAGCTGGACGGTGGGACACCGTATGGATCGAGGGTATCCTCCTAGAGGAAGTGGGTGTGGAGGACGGTTTACCGACATTCCGCCGAATGGGCCAGTGGTCGCATAGGTACGACATGGATACTTGCACACAACAAAGCCCAATTCCTGGATTACTGGGATCTTTCGACACCAAGGAGCGTCTCGAGATTGAACTAGGAGAGTTTAGAAAGAGGCGTGAATCACTTCCCTTTCACAGGTACAAGTTGGTATAAATAAGGTACAATCACATATGGGACATCGTCGACTTTGGCACAACCAGGACGGCCTTTTCAATCACGACAAACTTGGCCAGATGGGCTAGATCAAGCAAACTCAGTCCAAGTCAACGTAGGACTCGTGCTGATAAGACAGTGTCACTGAACAAGCTCATCTGGTTGTATGTTTTAAGATTCACGATCTGGTTCTCTTTCGACAAAAAAGGTGTCAGAGAGGATAGAATATCTATCTAATGCCTGATTCTGTGTCTGGCAATGCCCATCCAGGTAACTGCCAAGTATGCACCAGCCCATCAAGGCGCGCAACATCTCCCCAGGGTCAGAGAGACGGTCACCGCCTTGTCAACTGATTCATTCTGCTAGCTCTGTTCGTGCGCACCTTTGCGCTTTCAGCCATTGCTGTAATCCAAACTCTCTTCTAAAGATAGGTATTTCCAGGAGTAATCTACCAACATCACGACTTGTTCCATCCAACTTGATGACTCTAAGACTGCTATCTTTGTTATCGCATATTCGATTTTCTGTAGCGCAGTGAGGGGAAGCGCTTGCAAAGGGAGTCGTGACATGTGCCTTGGAAAACTATAACATCTTGTTGCCCTAGGACGACTCTCTGGGCGGTTCCGGTTCCTCGCGAGAGACGGGTCGCGAACGCTCGTGGGCGTCGGTCACAAAGTTGTAATGATGGGCTGTCATGTCCCACCAATCGTGGTTTACCAGTGGGGGAGCTGTTTCGTTATTCCAATAATAGCGGCGGATCCGAGGGGGTTCGATGATGTTATTCCCAATGTTTTCCCCCGTTGGAAAATATTCCTTGGGAAAAACCGTGGGCATCTTCACCTCCTTGTTACCACAGCATTCACTCCACGGTCCCAGCTGTGCCAATCTCTTATCGACATTGTTCCTGAAGTTCATCCAGGACCTCTGCACCTCTCGAAGATGGACGTTATCTCCAGGATTGAAGCAGACTGTAGCGTTTATGCGCTCGGGGTTACCAGCCGGTTGTGACTCGTGATCCAGGGCTACCTTGGCCACAAAGTGCTTGGCAATGTCGCTTATGGTTTGTCCAACCAAAGCATCACCTATTTCACAACGAAGTGGACCATCGTAAAACTCCCATACTCGCAGGAAGGTGTCCGAATCGGGACGAAGGAGGCGCCCATAGTTCTCGATCCAGTTGTTGTTTGGAAGACGTCGTGTGTCGAAAGGCATTGTGGCAAATACAAAGAAGCTTATGATCTCCCCGAGCGCGCCAACAGTATCTTTATCCAAAGAACTGGCGTGCCTCGTTCGGCCAAATTGGTCCCAAAAGCGCATGAAGAGCATGTTCTGCACGAACAGCCAGTTGCGCAGGAAACAAGTGTCTTCACAGACAAAACGGTGAAGGGGATTCAAGTGAGCTTCTCCCTTGAACCGTGGCTCATAGTCTGGGAAATATTGGAAGACGTCGTCGAGCAACATCTCGGGGTGTGTGATGAGGTCCACGATCTCGCCATTGGAGGCGATGATGAAATAGCCCGCGGGAATGACGACCAAAGAGCGCTTGCGGATGTCGATGTTAGATTTTCCGGTCGTGGGGTTCTCGTCAGAGTCTTCGAGCACAAGGTTGTCAAAGTCCTCGGACATGAGGATGCCAGAGTCTTCGTCAGAATCCAAGGCAGAGTCCTCGGACCCGAGGTCACGGACATGGGCCTTGTCAAAATCCATGCCAGAGTCCTCGACCGTAAGTGTCATGACAGAGGTTTTGGCCACCAATTCCTTGACAGAGTCCTCAGCCAGGAGTTCCATGACAGACTCTCCAGCCATGAGTGCCATAACCGGGGTAGGGGCTTTCATTGTATTCTTGTCGGTCTTGGTGATTTGGCCGTAGTCGGTCAATGCTAGCTCTTCGACAATTGTGGGAACAAGAATTGAAGTCATCGCTGTCGCTCCTTCAGGAGTATCTGCATGTAAGCAAGGTCAGTGGTTGTCGGTTAAAAAGTCGAGCTGAAATAGATGACAAACGTGGTTCTCTTGCGGGCATTTCCCGCGTCTGCCTCGGTTTCAAGCTCTGTCTCTTTCTCCCTCAGTAGTTGTACACAGGGTACAAGCAGCGCTGGGGTTCCCTTTGATCTTGTGTGTTGGTGGTTACCCGGACTTGATAAAGAACTTGAAGTTCAGGTCTAGAATACGGGTGGACATACGGGTTTGTTTAGGCCTTTCTGGTCGGGGTTTCCTTTGATCTTGAAGGTTGGTTACGATGCCAGCTTAGGTTGATGATGGAAAAAGTTCAACTCCCATTTCGGTGGGCGACACCCATATGTATAATGTTTTCAAGGACGTTTGGGTCATGGAAAGTGCAACACCAGCCTGGCCATCTGTATACCAGCAAATCAAGCAGTAGCCCTCCATGGCATATCGGCTGCCAACTTTCATCGAAGGAAACCGGGCAGGTACCAGGGGATTGACGCGCTGTGCATCTATTCCCTTGTTGTTGACACGGCAGAATATGGAAGTTACCGGTACTCCCCAAGCGCTCGATACTGTATTGAAATGCTGAGGATCGGGCATATTTGGGGATATCTAAGCAAGTGTCAAGCTACTGTACCTACACCTATGCATTTCCGCAACCCCAAGGAAACCTGAAACTCCAAGTAACAACTTCGACAGCCTCGTTGGATTATGGGAAACTGGCTTCGCTCGTCTCGAGATTCAGGCAGCTTTCGACTGCGAAGTTACGAGCTGGCAACATGAACAGCACGCACATGCGCCGTGAATTCAATGGCAACCATGTGGTAGAAGTTCCTCCCGCTGAGCGTTCCTGCACGACTCCAAATCAAGTCGTACAAATATAAACGGCACCGGTAGTCGTCATGCCGCAAAGACTCGAGCCATTGACTATTGGTTATCTCGAGTAGCCTGGAAATCAGGAATAGTCTGTAAGCATACTGTAACATTCATGCCCGCGAGAAATTGATCGCATGCCAGATGGTGAATCTGAACGTCGATAGCTCCCAGCGCCCTTTAGAAAACAGGGAGAAAAGTCAGGGGGCGTCGATTCGTTTATCACGAAACAGCACCTCTGTGGTGTTGAACATGAAAAGAACAAGATGACCCAAAAGGGGTTGCAAGTAAACAAACCTGGGTTGACGTTGTGTGACCCTCCAGATCCATCCGTACCCCGTGTTTTCTCCACATTCCCCAAACCCCGGAGTCCGGAACTTCCCCCCTCTTTGTTTCTTTGTCAGGGTGTCTTTCAATCATGCATCAAGGTTGCACTATGTAGGCGGTACGTACACTAGTACTACTTTACCTGTTCTCGGCCAAAGTGCCACCCCCGTTTTCACATGTCAGACAAAACCCACTGTTGGGATGGATCCCAGGACGCCGATTGGGCGGCGTTGGGACGAGCATGACGACAGGCGATCATATGCATCCCGACCCCCGGCGCCGACGACCACCCTTGCTACACTAACAAACTGCAAGCCAACACATACATACCTTCTTCATTCCACTTGCCATCAACCCTCGTCGCTGTTCCAACCTCACCTCACCTTACCTCACCTCACCTTGCTTCCTGTTTCATCAACTAATGCCCAACCGGTTTTGCCTCTCTTTTCCCTTCTCTCTTCCTTTGCTTTCCGATAACCTTGCGCTGTGACCGCAAAGCATTTCAACCAAGGCACTTTTGTTCTTTACAGACCAACATCTTGATGCTGCTGTATGCAGAACCATCCGCCATTAGACTTTGGCTGTTGACCAGCATCATCCTGCGTGCCCCCACCACCAGCCCGCCCTGCACGCGTGCTTCTGAAAGACGCCGAACGCTCTGCCCTTGGCGGTCCAACTTGTTGCCTTGGCTGTCCGAACCCGGAATCATCACAGCCGGTGCCAAATCTCATGGACAGGCGATAGTAACGCGACTTTGAAGTGGGCGATTGCTGTTAGCAAGAAAGAAAGGGCTTTGTTTACTGCCTTGCATTCAGCCCCTTCCGATCACGTTGGTACCAGGCCGCGCAACCTGATATTGGGCACCGGGGATTCAAGCCTCCTGAAACCCCGTCCATCATGATAGACCACCTCCTCGGACGACCGTCTGCCAAGTCTCGAAGACTGCAGGTACTCGCCGTATTAGGCTTTTGGTCCGCCTACCTCATCAAGTACGTCCCAGTCATGACACCAGACACCAATTAGCACCTAGATTGACACCATCTCCACGCAGGGGTCACAAACATGGCCCGCCCGGCTTCCGCATCTTCTCTCGCCTTCTCTCCCGGCGTCTGACAACATGGCAAACCGTCATCTTGACCATGATCTACCTGTACGCGGCCCGCAACTTCAGCACCCTCGTCGGGCTCGCCAGCCCCGAACCCATGGCCAACATGTATGACGCCGCCTATTTCCGGGCCACCTGGGTGCTGACTGCGTTGGACGCCGGCTTTTGGACCGCCATGAAGATTAAACAAAAGTGGCTGCGCGATATCTCCAGCATCGCCTTCTCGCTCTTCTATCTTGTCGCCGCCGAAAAGGCCGACGAAAAGGTCCGCAAGGTGCGCGGCAACCTCACGGTCGAGCACCTCCGCGTCAGCTGGAACAAGGGCGTCACGTCACCCTACCTCCGCTTCGTGCAGAATCTGATGCGACCACGGTTTACGCGGTGGCCGCCCAGGCAGATCAGGATCCCGAGGCCGGCGACGAGCGATTACAAAGATCCGGTTGCCGCCTGGCTGTACTATGATGGTCCGCTGGCGGATCTGGAATATCATAACAAGATCATCTTGGATATCCCTGGTGGCGGCTTTGTGGCCATGGATCCGAGGTGCAACGACGATAAGCTGTTTTCTTGGGCCGCCAAGACGGGATTGCCTATCTTGAGTCTGGACTACAAGAAGGCGCCCGAGTTTCCTTATCCGTATGCACTGAACGAGTGTTATGATGTTTACAGTACCATCATCAAGACCAAGGGGCGGTGCATTGGCTTGTCCGGACGAGAGGTGCCCAAGATCGTGGTCACGGGTGATAGTGCGGGAGGAACGCTGGCGACTTCCATGACGCTTATGATCGTTGAGAGCGGTTCGTCGCCTGTTCGTCGCTTTCAGGGAGAGGTCAACCTCAAGGTACCCGATGGTTTGATTCTCTTTTATCCTGCGCTGGATATGAACATTGGCAGCTGGATGTCGGATGAGCAGATGGCGTTGATCAAGGACCGAAGGATGCGCGGAACCAACAAGAGAATTGTTCAGCGCAAGACGTCTCAGTACAACGACTTGGTCGGTACCCCCGCCCCATCGGACGACGAAGATGACGGCCCTTCATCTGGCCCCAGCCTGGTCAAGGAGAAGGAGCCATCGTCAGCAGCTCGCTCAGCACCGGAATACGCGCACTCGGGCCCTTCAACATGGTCGCATGCCGACATTCCTTCCCTTTCCTCTTCAAGGTCCGAGAAATCCAAAACCACTGAGAAACAAGCCAGAGCAAAGTCCTCTGCTGTCGCAACCACAACCACCCCCTCACCCACCGCCGCCCCGCACAGCCACCACCCCCAGCCCATGCGCACCCGCCTCGCCATGTCGTCCATGATCTCGTACTTTGCCGACCGTGTCCTCACGCCCGAAATGATGCGCGCAATGATCATCCTCTACGTCGGCCCTCACAACCGGCCCGACTTCTCCTCCGACTACCTGCTCTGTCCCATTCTCGCGCCCGATATCTTGTTATCCAAATTCCCCAAAACCTATTTCTTGACAGGCGAGCGCGATCCCCTTGTAGACGACACGGTCATCTTCGCCGGTCGTTTGAAGAGGGTAAAAGCGGCCATGGTCGCTTCTGATGGAACCAGGACGCAGTATAGAGAGGAAGACGTCGACGAGGCAATCAGAAAGACAAATGGGAAATGGGATGGAAAGCAGGCGGCTGAGGTGGCGCTGGTGCCGGGGATCAGTCATGGGTTTTTGCAGTTTGCGGGGGTGTATCCGCCTGCGTGGGGATTGTTTGGCAAGATTGCGGGGTGGATGGGGGAGGTGTTTGCAGAGGCGGAAAGAAAGGAGAGGGAGGAGGAGAGGGCGAGGAGGAAGATGGGCGTTGCTGGTGGTGCCAAGTTGGAAGAGAAGGCTGAAACAGGAGCGGCTGGGAGGGGGACAAATGAGAAGGGTGTCGGTTTTGGGGCAGTCGAGGAACACTCAGCTGAAGAAAGAACGGGGAGACATCACCGTCGCCGCGGGACAGGCGGAACAGAAAGCAGCGCCGACGAAGACAAGCCATTGGAGATGGGCGGTAAAGCCCGAACAAGAGGAAGAGTGGCATTGAAGAATGCCGGCTCTCTTTCTGAGGGGAATGCTTCAACCTCGGCAGATGCTCGGGAAGGCATGGTGAACGAAGACAGGATCCATGTCGTCGAGGGAGCAGAAGGAGATGAGGAAGGCGGGAGTGATACAGCGACTGAGGCAGCGACTGCGGCGAATACAAAGGTCAAAGCGAAGAAGGCGCCAAGGAGGATGAAGCTGAGGAGGGTCAAAGTGGGCGATGAGGATGGGGCGCTGTTGGTGAGGCTGGATAGCTCGGATGATATTTTGGGGAGGAGGATGCAGGGGTTGGCGGGAGGGTTGACGGGGTTGCAGGAGGCGGAATGAGTAGGTAGGCGGGTGAGGTGTTGAATGATGATTTTATGAGCTATGATGATTTTTTGTATGAGAAACTCTATTCGCACGGGGAAGAAACTCTATTCGCACGGGGATTCACCTTTTTGCCCATATATAACCCTAACCCTGTATACCCACCACCGACCCGCACCAGTCTCGCTCGTACCGCGCCCGCCAAGCTCCTAGATTTTAAGCTATTACACCCATTTGGGGGTTGTACTAGCCACCCTCGTACTATACTAGCCAGCTTAATTTAATTTAGCGATTATTCTAGTATATACTTCGTTGCATTACTTCCTCTACTAAACTATATATATTATTACTATATTGTATTCAATTAATTTACTACCCCGCGTATTACTAGATACTACTAAAGTAAATAAAGCGCTTGTATTTAGTCGACGGTACGGATTAATGTATTACTTTTCAGTATATTTCTTTAGCTAACCGTAATGTAGATGGCCGATGCAACGACTAGTCTCTCATGACAGACGTTCAACCTTAGTCAGCCCCCATCCACTTCCCCGCCACCCCGTGGCGCAGTCGTTTTGGACCCACAGGGCCAAATGGTGTGATGTCCGGATTGGTGGGTGGGTGAGGGTGGTGGGCCGGATGTCACAACCATTTGGCCCTGTGGGTCCGAAGAGACGCATAGGCCATCGGAGGTGGCTGAGCGACTGAGACTAGCAACGACACCCCAGCCGACGGGCGCGTGCGACCGTAGCGCTAAATGCCTTGTAAAGTGCGTTGTAAAATGCCCTGTAAATGCCGAGTCTGGTATATATACTAGCTGTAGTCTGGAGTTTGCGTTTGGTATGGTATGAAAGAATGTAATGCCTAGATTTACTAGGCGAAATCTATGAAAGAATACATTTGAGATATTGGGGGCTGAGAGGGTTAGGGTTATGTATGGGCAAAAAGGTGGATCCCCGTGCGAATAGAGTTTCTTCCCCGTGCGAATAGAGTTTCTCTTTTGTATAGCTGTTGTTACTTAGGAAATGGATGAATGTTGAACTTTTGAAAAAACAACGAGTTTTGATTCGAGATGCGCAGAGTAAACCTATTGCGTCGACTGTGTGCGTGGTAATGTTTTTCTTCGCCACGCAGCGCGGGATGCCTGCCTCGTGCAGTGGTGATGGAGTGCAATAAACAGCCTGTTCTTACAGTGGGTTTTAGTGAAAGCTTCCCTGTGTGCCGATTACCTTGCCTCCACCAGCGGGGACGAACTCATCTCCATCACTTGCGCACTGTAAACTCTTGACTGCTTTTGAGAAGCCTTTGGTTATTGGAATGAGTAATTTGCTTCTTCATAGTCTCTTAAGGTATATTATCTTACTCTCATTATTACATAGGAGTGCAACAATCGCCAGTGTCCCAGAGATACGTTGGTGGTGAGCGCCAACATCTTGCACGCCTCACTAGGTAGCTAAGGTAGCTACCCCGCTGTAATTACAGGGAGGGCATTCAGTTAGGTATCTGAACCGATTTATTTTCTTGCTGGCGTCCTCAGAAGGATGGGTAGACGAAGAGCAACAAAGTGTTTGGAGAGAAAGATTATATTGCTATAGACTATTGTGTGTGAGATGCTTTTCAACCACATACAAGGTTGAAAAGGGGTGTGGAATGTGTGAGTATCCAGAGAGTTGTGCACTCAATCGGTTTCGCTCTCTATCCCTCTTTGGATTTATTTTTTGTTGATATCTCCTCGTTAGCTGAAGCCTGATTCCCGCCACCCTCAGAAGCCATATGAGATTCATTTGACAAACATAAATATTGGAAGCCATGCCATCGCGGCCAAGATCTGGTCTAAGCCCCATTCGCTGACCGGGAAGGCGTCACCAATCAGTTGGTCGACGAACCATCTGATGCGTATCTATGAATGCCGCTGGATACCTACCTATACTTGTAGATCCACAAGATTAATGGCTCTATCAATGAAAAGGCCATCCTTGAAATGCCCTCGAAATATGGACCCAACTTGTTATAGTGTAGTAGAGTCCACCGATCGGCAAATACTCATATGGTGTGACAAACGTCCCAAACGGCTTGGAGAAGGCCTGTTCCAAATCCCAGCGCTGGAAATCCAAGATCTACTACATATCGGCGTTAAACAATCCACATGCTTTGAGATTGTTGTGAACAAGAGTGGGAACCGTAAACGCAAAGAAGAAAATACAAGACAATGAAAAAATCGGGCTTCGAGCAGTAGTCATTGAGGCTCAAGGCTATCGTACAACAAAGCGACACTGCAGGAGTTGATATGCTCTTGGTCTATGATATACCGGGGTTATCCCTGAAGATCAAGGCTTGGACGAATTAATGTCTTAACCCGTCGTTTCAAAGTTGTATGCTTGTTGTGGTTCCAACTTACACCGAATGCTAGCGAGATCCGGGTTGCCTTGAAACTCAAGTTTTTTGCAGTAATCCCGTGGGGAAGTGATTGGTTGTATGTCCCATGAAAAATCAATCGATTGATCCGAAGCAACAGCGAAAACATGGTAAAACCAGGCCGTGACGTTGCCATACATGATGTTATCTTTGGTCGTCGTGTTGCGGCAAGAGAGAATGGACTCCCAGAGCGTTTTCACTGGAAGACTGTTATCGTTGCCCAGGGCACGTCGGAAGTGGACAGCGAAGGCGCCAGACGCGATACAATTTTTTCCGGCTCAAATATAGGTAGACAGCTTGATATTAGTCAACGGGTTGCTTTGGTCCATAACGAACGATGGCGCTTACAAGGACAACTGAGTTGACAAAAGATGAGATGCATTTGAGTGAGGCCATGGTCTAGGTCGTTGGGAGTTGTCCAAAACATATAGCAAATTCAAGTCGACCATAAAACACAAGAGGAAGATTCTCTCTGCTCCTAATAACCGTTGTGGCAGGTGGTCGTCTTGGGACCTGGTCGATGATGGAGTGGGACCATGAGAGTCCGAGGGCTGTAGTCCAGACATGCCTATCTGCTTCGTAAGCGCCTTCGGCTCTGTAAGAGTTGAAAACATACGCACATACGCACAGTGTCCAGCGTTCATTTGGAGAACCGTCTACTGCAAGGAGTTGCTGGGTTTGGCCAAGATGTGTATTCGTCGAGATCCGAAGCACCCCGGGAACGGCGTCGACGTCCAGTGAGCGAGGCCCTTGAAGGACCAGGCAACTGGTTGCCTTAGATGTAGACTGAGCTGTATGAGCCCATAAAGTGGCCCTGGTCCGTGAGGAGTGTCCCGAAATGGTCACCCAACCACCATGTCATTATTGACAGAATGCTGGCTTTTTCGATCATCAAGAGTAGCGCTGCAGACAGCCACGAATGCTCGCGCCCATCCCCCAGCTGATCCTCTGGTAATATGTGTCGATTGAGTAAGGGTCAAGTGGGGTATCTTGTTTCTGAAGGCTAACAGTAACAAACCGGACTCATGAAGGCTTAGTGTGACTCTGTAGCTCTTCTTTGCTTCGCAGGTTGAGCCCGGGCGTGACCAGGACTTTTTGTTCCTCAAGGGGTGACGCTGGGATCCGGGTGGCGTCAGTGCATGTGCTGATCGGTGTTATGGTCTCCTCCACGAAATCCCTTTCCTTGTTGTATTCCGTTGGCAACTCGAATCGGAATTCCGTATCCATTTCCACTGGCGGCACTTTTGAGTCAAGTTCCGATGGTGGTATTTTATCGGTATGTAACTCCGCCGAGCTGATTTCGCTATCTAGTTCCGTTCTGCTTCCCGCCCCGCTGGTGCCATGCAGTTCAGGTGTACTGCCGGAGCTAGACCGTAGATGCCTTGCTTTCTTGGATTTCTTTCTCCTGATGAGCACAAAGAAAATGACCAGTGCTCCAAGAACAATGGCAGCAGCGATAGCTATGACGGCCCAAACCCAACCAGCAACACTCTTTGAGCCCGAATGGCTAGCCCCTGTTGGTGACAAGGGGGTCGTTTTACGGGTGCCGTAGCCTCCTGCAGGTATAGTTGAGCGAGTGGATATGTCGCTAGTATGCCAGCCAGTCCAGTCGGCACGTGTGATTGTTGCGATCACAAGCTCGGTGACCGTGATGGTTTCTCCAGTAAGTAAAACATAGTTGTTGGTCTGGATGGCCTGGTCGGTAGTCAACCAAGACGCGGCAATGGACGAGCTGGTGCCGGTGGCGCTGCTTGGTGAGGCTCCAGCAGTTGCAGTTGGGTCGAATGGCGCCGTTAGCGTGTGTACGTTTGATGCCTCAACTCCCGTCGTGCTCGTTGGTTGCTGAGGTGCAATGGTGCCAACCACTGTGGTGGCCACTGGCTCGGGCGGGCCAAGTGAGAGAGTAACAGTTGCCCCAAGGTCGATACATTGTCGAAGGATATCACCGAAGTAGGGATTAATGTATTTTTGGTAGGCGACAGCATAAGCCGAATCAGTTGTGGTCCCATTCTTGATACAGCTATTGCAAGAGTCGAACTCTCGGATAAGGGGGCCGTCAGTTGCACACAAGTCTTGACGAGTCAGAAGAGATTTAGATTCCAGAAAGGCATCATCTGTGAGGGGTCTCGGTTAGTGGCTGTCAGTCATGACAAGAAGAGAATAGAAGATTTGATGGTAACGTACCACATAGCTGGAAGCACGTTTGGGGCACTCCTAGATCGACCCCATCTCTAGGCGTCACCGAGGCCCACATGTTGTCAAGTCAAGGAGGGCGGTTGACAGGCGAAAAAGACAGAACAGAGCAAGACGAGCCCAGGAGATGCTTGGGAAGACAAGCGAAGGAACGGACTGGCGCGCCCATTTAAGGAAACTCGGAGAGGATTTTCAGGGGTACCATTTCCCAGCTGGTATCCACCATTCTACTTTGGGTTACCGTCACTGCCTAGGGCGTTTGGGTGTAAATCATGTTGACATGTGCTTCCCAACACACAGTAAACTCGATGCCCGGCACTACTAGGCCATGTTGAATGGTCCGTGTTGCAAGTTCACGACATGTAGTCATGACTCGACATGGCATGACAGAGATTTGCGCTGGGATCGGGTAAAGGGAATGGATGGAAAACCTGGAGATGCCTGGCAGTCGTCGGTATGAGGCAGCAAGAGTGAAGCATGGGTCTGGATGATATGTACCCGACCATTCATTCGGATCTTGGGATGCGCAGACATCATTTCCGTTGGCTCCACGACAGCTACACTAGAGACCTGGGGAAACGAGGATACGAGGCTTCAGCCACAGCCTGTCGGGTCAGCGCCACAAGTGACGGGATTGAAGGGTGGAAGTTCGGGCGGGTACTGCCGCAATGGCATCCATCCCATGTCACTTTGTGGCGGAGGCAGGCACCCACTAAATGATGGGGAGGGGATCCTCATTCCATGTACCCACTGAAACCCCACTGATTCACCATTCAGCTGGAGGCTAACCACGTCATCAGCGCAGGGCATCCAGTTACACACACTCAGAGTGAGTGAGTGATACAACGCAAGGCAGAAGAGCCACTCGACCTCGCTCACGTCCAGTCCCCTCTCGCAACCACGTGTAGTATACTAGTGTAGTGTAATTAGACTTTTGCGCCCGTGTACTTGTCGTACACTACACTATTTCTCCATCTCACATCCATGAAAAAGAACCTACGTAAACTTGCTTTCTCCACACCATGTCTCGGATCGCGGACTGTTTCTCCCACCAGACTTGGAGCCCGAGCTTATTCCACTTCCAGTTGGTCTGAAGGTCACGGTCCCTGTAGGTCATGGGCCTGCTCACTTCTTCTCTTCTCTTCTCTGACTACACTAGTGTCCTCTTTCGCAATAACCTCGACTGGCACTTATACACTACTGATTAGGCCGGACAGTCCGTCTGAGCACAGGCGCGTGCGTAGTGTGTGGTAGGTAGCTACTCTTCCTGTTCAGTTCAGACATTGCCGTTGGCTTTGTGGACCATCGCTCGGTATACATAAGTGGCTGACGTCAGGTACCTGCATAGCAACTCGATCGTCGATCAGTGCGCTTCCTCGTCGCGTCGCCCTCGAGTCTTGTCACCGCCCGCTTCAAAAGGGCAGTCAAACCATGTCCAACACGGCCGAGACCCATCATACCTTCGGCCCCTCCTGCCGACTAGCGCCCATCACCGAACCCGAACCCATCGATGGGCTCGAGGGCATCCCGCCTATCAACGCCCAGTTCTTCTACTCGTCCACCATTCCCATCGATGACCCCTTGTCTGCTGCCACAACTGTTGGCTCCTCCGATGCGAAAGCAGCAAACCTGCCACTGCGACCCTTCTCCCCTGGTGATAACAGAGATCTAGAGCGGGCGTGGCTGGGCTTCTCCTCCGACAGGGACCGGAGGAATCACAGACACGCTCAAAGAAACAAAAGTCCGAGTCCGTCTCTCTCAAAGGAAAATGCCGAGAAACTTGCCGCTATCGTGGCCCTCCTGGCTGCTAAGCACAAGGACAAGCATGATCGGGAGGGCCATTCCGCTTTCTCGGCCCTGGCCACCACCGAAAATGAGCATGACCACAGCGTCCCAGTGTGTTGCGCCGAGCTTTCGATCGATGCTTCCGCAGAGTTAAGAAAGGAGTTTTGCGCCGTTACCAGACGTCGCCAGCCAACCCTCGACCACGACCGCCTTATCCAGGAGGTCATGGCCCAGTTAACTCGCTTGTGGGCAAATTCAGATACTTCGCAAGAGTCCTCGGCATTTAGGCCCTCAAGTCTTCCGCTTGGCACTAGCCCTCTTCAAAGACTTTCTGGCTCTTTAGAGGTAAAGCCTTCCTCCCTCACCGATAATCAACTTCCTCTTTCGACTATTGGCAAGATGATTCCAAGACCCCCGGTCGTGGATGCTGGAATATCAGGCAAGCCGTTCGTTCGCGTCGAATCACTCAGCCGGTCAGTCGGTGCTACACCAGAAGACAAGCCGTCCAGAGAACCATCCATACGCGGCCTTCCATCTCGCTTAGGAGGGAATGATAGCCGAGCGGCCAAGCGCATCGTCAAAGAGGCCATCCGTCAGGCGGAAGATTCGGTTGAAGTGCCTGTTGGTATCTCGAGACTGCACATGGTTTCGCTGCCAGTTCTTCAGATGAAGCCGATATACTGGTCGCCTGTCAATGACATATCCACGGTGCAACGCGCTACGTGGTTCTATAGGTAGGCATTGGCGCTCCGTACAACCCTTCTTAGTTGACTGCTAACACTGATTCCCAGAGACACCATGACCCCCGTCAAGCCTGCTGTCGCTAACCAGCTAGAAGCCGGCTATCGAGAGTTACGGGTATGGGGTCAAACCTGGAAGGACGAACTGAAGTCTGCGTTAGATGTAGGTGCGCTAGGCGAAGAAAAGGTGTCGCACCCTTTGTGGCCAGAAATTCCGGACAAGCGCCCCAAAGTCAAGGACGACATGCCTCCCGAGCCGCCAATATCGAGCGATCCGTTTTGCGCCGCCAGATGTTTTCGTGGAGAAGCTGCAGCTGAAGGGACACTCGAGCATGTGCATCCCGATCAAGAACTGCCGCCGCCACCACCCGAACCCTATGCCAACTTTCATGTCATCTACAAGGACAAGTCCGCTGCATTCTTGCTAAGGCCCAGCCAAAAACCTAGTGCATATCATGGAAGACGGCCACTCCAAAAGATCATGAGAGGTATTACTGTGGGAATCCCCGTGGTGCGCGGTTTCGACCAGGCCATCTGGGACAAAGTACACCAAAAGAAGGGCACATCGGCAAATAAAGCGCCCAACCGCAACACGCCACGGCAGACGAATGTTTCGGGTGATGGTTGCCCAGCATGTCAAATGGAGCAGGATCGCGGCCAAGTGACCGATCTTCTTTTGATTGCGCATGGCATCGGTCAAAAGTTTGCCGAGCGGGTTGAAAGTTTCCACTTCACGCATGCCGTCAATGCCTTTCGAAGAGCCGTCAATATCGAGTTGGAAAATCCCATGATAAAGCCGGTGCTCCGGCCTGACCAGAATGGTATCATGGTGCTGCCTGTGAATTGGCGTCATCTCCTCAGCTTTGAAGATGGCGGTCCCAGCAAGGAAGAAGACGCGTCCGCATATACTCCTGACGGTTTCGGGCTGAAGGACATTGAACCCAACACAATCCCTGCCGTACGCAGCATGATCTCAGACGTCATGTTCGACATTCCTTTTTACATGTCTCACCATAAGCCAAAAATGATTGCCGCCCTTGTAGGCGAAGCAAATCGCGTGTACCGGCTATGGTGCAAGAACAACCCCGGCTTCGCCGACAAGGGCCGCGTCCACCTCATTGGGCACTCGCTCGGCAGCGCCATGGCGGTCGAGATTCTCTCCAAGCAGCCGACCAGCGTTCCCCGGCCCTTAGATCTATCCGGAACACAGCCGGAAACCCGCCACTTCGAGTTCGACACCACCAACCTCTTCCTCCTCGGCAGCCCCGCCGCCTTTTTCCTTCTTCTAGAAAGAGGTAGCCTCGTTCCCCGCCGCGGCCGCCTCAAGCCCGGCGCAGACGCAGCCGACACGCTCAACAAGGATATAGTCGGTGACCTCGGCCGCTTCGGCTGCATCGCCGTCGACAACATCTACAACATTCTCGCCAAGGAGGACCCCATCGCCTACCTGCTAAACGGGACCATCGATCCCATTTATGCTTCCAGCCTCAAGACCGCTTACGTGCCCACCTTCACCACCTCCTTCTTCAAATCCGTCTCCGACTCCCTCCGCGGTCTAGCTGGTTTGTCAACCTCCACCTCCGCACCCACATCCAACTCTTCTAACCCCTCTGATCCGTCGAATCAATCAACCGATCCCACCGGACGCCAATCCCAAATGCTGTCAACCTCCAAACCCCCCACCTTCCTCCGCCTCCCCTCGCAGCTCGAACTGGAAGTGCATGATTTTTCCCGGGAAGAGGTCGCCGAGAAGAAGGCCTTTTTACTGAACGACAACGGCCAAATCGATTACTATTTGAGATCTGGTGGGGGCCCGCTAGAGATCCAGTACCTGAATATGTTGAGCGCGCACACGAGTTACTGGAACAATCTGGACTTGATTCGGTTTTTGTGTATTGAAATTGGTAGGAGACCAGGGAGGGAGAACAGTTTGGGGGTGTTGAGGGCGGATAAGATTGTTCGGTTGCGGAAGGGGGAGAGGATGGGATAGATCCTCGTGGAGGATTCGTATGTGTGTGATGAAGAATGAGGTTATGACGGGAATGAAGGACTTTGATTTTGACTTAGCATACGGGTGGGCTTTTTGGTATTGTTTTCTTTTCTGTATTGTGTTTGCATTGCGTTGCATTCGTTTGTTCTTGTTTGGGGAGGATAGACTGTCTGGCTTTGAGCATGACGAAAACGAAAGACGGGAGGGAGGCTCATGTTGATTTGAACTGACTGCTCCAGGTAGCAGTTAGCCATCATTTAGCATTTCTTTTTTTTTTTTTTTTTTTCTTTTTGGCTTGATACCCTTGATGATGAAACGAGTGTTCTATTTTTATAGCTAGCTTGTATATAAAAAATGAGCGAAATACTAGGCATGTTCGAATACGTGTGTCCAAACACACACACACACGCACACACACACACAAGTTGCTTCTGTCAACAACAGACGTTTTGCCCAAGTTGCTCCTTCCCGTTCACCTTCCAAACCCAGCCATCGCCGCCCCTTTCTCTTCCCCACTCCAACACTCTCTGCATCGTGACAGTTTCAGAACCGTCAAGGTACAAAAACAAACCCTCATCACCAAGGACTCTCATCGCTTTGGTTAAGCCGAGTACATTCGTGACTCAGGTAGTTTAGTTGTTCCAGCACCTGTAGCTCCTGATCTTGTCATTGGAGTTGACGCCACAGACGTTGTTGCTGGCGGTGTTCAGGTTGGAGCGGCCGGGGGACACGGAGTCCAAGTGGCGGCAGCCGTTCTCGTCGTTGTTGGCGGGGCAGTTGGAGTCGCTGGAAAAAGACATGTCAGTTTGGAAGTCAAGAGATGTGCTTACACCGGTGGCATCGGAGGTTTGGAGATTGGAGCGTTTCGAGTGCGGGAGTAGATGGCTTTCTCGACGTTGATGGAGGGAGACGAAGGGTACTTGACCGCAGGGAGACGGAGGACGAAGGAAACTACTAAGGGGAGCATACAAGAAAAAGCGGCAGTAGGCGCCCTGATCAGGCCCAACGCTGGAGACTTGACCGGCGAGATAACCGTCTAGAGCAACTGTTTTAGTGGCAGAAGGTGAAATCGCCATTATTAGCCTTAACGACCTTTTCCAAATACGAAAGAAGGACCGACCGGAGCCACATGCTGCACTCATCAGGGTTGCTGAAGATATGCTGGCAAGTGCCAGCCACAAACGGAGCATCCTTGCAGAGGTAGACACCGAGCGAAGCACGCTTGTCGAGAGCGCGGGAGGCAAGAGCCGTGGCGTCAGTGGCGTTGGCAGGGTTGAACTTCATGGCGTCGGGAATTTCGTCTGCGGAGACGCTGGCGCCTGTGACGACCTTTGCGACTTCGGTAGAAGCGGAAGGGAGGGCGGCGACGGCCTTGAGCGCCGCGAGGGTAGCGAGGACGGAGGCGAGCTGCATGTTTGCGGTGGTTAAGATACTACCTAGATGTATTTGAGAGTATGAGGTGGTTTGAAAAGATGAGAAAGTGCCGAAGGCTTGAGGAGCTGGCTGGATGGTGAGAATGAAAGATGAGCAAGTTTGAGAGATGGGAATTGAGCGTCTTTATAGACGGAATGGAGCCATTCGAGGTGTCTCCGTTGCCCCCAACTGTTCTTTTGGGCTGCGGGGATGAGCCGACTGAAGCGATCGTGAACATTCCCAAGCAGGAACATCCAAAGAGACTCGAGGAGCTCGGTTACCTTTCCACCACCAGCTCTATTCATGTCTCCCTCAGTCACATCTGATCTCAGCTCAAAAGCAATATCTCAGTAAGAACCTCAGCCCAAAAGCAATATCTCAGTAAGCAAAATCAATACAACAATCTAGGAGCGCATTCAGTACCCGCTTTGAAAATTTAAAAGGGTATTCAAATTTGCAGGATTCGGATCATAGTAAGCATACTGCCTTACCAATAAACTACGTACGGAGCGTTCGTTAGGTTTGTCTCAATATTATGCAAGTTGCTGAGTGCAGCCCACCTGCAACCATCCGCACTTTCTCCAAATCGTCGATTTGACTAATTAGACGGCTGGATTTAGCCATTTTCTTACTGCCATCCTTACTACCTACACTACCGCTCAAAACAATCGACTCGTTTACTGACCGAGTGGCATTCTTGGTGCAGTGTTAGGATGGTCAACTCTTTTTTCGTAATCCGCCTAATTATAAGGTATTAATCTTTTTAGCACCGCCTCCCTAGGTACTCACCGTAATATCTCCGTCCGAACGATATAGATATGAGGGAGGTGGAGGTTCAGTTTCTTGACCCTACTACGTGATTAAAAGACCTGTTTGCTATCCTTCCCACTCCTATACACAAGGTTAGTGAGGGCCAGACTAGTATAGTAGTTGGGTCGGTGACGACTAGCGAATCCCTGGTGTTGTATGTCTTTTTCGTTTTTTTTTCCCTCTCTCTACTTGTGCTTCTCTTTTTGCTCACATTTGTCCCCCTTTGTTTTTCTCCCCTCTATGCTTTTGGGAGAGGGGCCATGTTCTATGTTCACTTTTCTCTCTTATATTCAGATAAGCAGCATCTCGTAGCGAGGTGGCCGTATGATGTGGCACGGTTCTTCGTAGGCGTGTTTTGTTCAGACATAAAATCACCGTCTCGATGAATAGAGAAGGATACAATAACCGCATTCAGACATGGTTCAGGTAGGATATCCGTTTCATTTTGGTACAATATTCCTTCATTACTTACTTTAAGTATCTGAGTGTCTTAAAATCTATGCTTCCATCCATGATTATGCATGCCCACCAGCTGGCTGGGACTCTCTACTGACAAATTGAACTCCGATATGCCCATCCCTTGCGCGTTCAACGCCCATAACGCCAACCTTTTCCATTCATTCTGTGTCATCAACCATAATCATGTCATCATAATCTATATATGGCGTGTCTTTTTACAGGCCTCAACAAGTTTCTCGAAGACAGTGTTAATGAAACAAACAACCTTTCATCATTATCGAGCTGGCTGATGCCAGTAGTAGTAGTAAAATGCCGTAAGACCGCTTAGTACCCTAAACCAGTGTAGTAGCAATCAATAATCCCGTCCATATGTCCGTCCGTTCCCCCCCAACGCCGCGCTTCTGCTGAATGTATAATGCAATGGTATCGTAGGTAAAAGCCAAATTGAAAAAGGGAAAGAACACGGAGCTCCTGAAACCCAGAAAATAGGGACCTGAGCACATTATCTCGTAGAGATATGCACTCGTGCGGAATCGGGACTTTCCAGGCTTTGTTGATCTTTCAATCTCCCGCCCCCGTCCTGATAATCCGCAGTCCATCCATATGACCTTTCTTCCCAGCCTCTTTCATCGCGATGGCGAAAATGAAATTATGGGATCAACCCAAACGCCGTCGCTTTGGCACTGCTGTTCGAAAAGATCAGAGAATTGCCCCCAAATGAAAATCGCCTCTCAAAACATATCATATAGTAAATTCACTTCAAGCACAATCCGTACCTTCACCACGCAGCCTCTCGGGTCCATATGGCCTCCTTTGCCTTTCCGGAATCGCCGCAGCCACTTCGGCGCTCTGCTGTTCGTCCTCATCCTCCGCCTCGTCAATACCATGGCCGTCCCTGCCCGTGGGCTCATGCTCCGCCACATTCTTGCGCTTCTTGCTCTCGGGCGCCTCTTCGACCTCGACGGACCGTCGGCAGACAGGGCAAGTGTTATGCACCTTGAGCCAGGGCGTCACGCACTCGCCGTGGAAGAAGTGGTTGCAGGGAAGAAGGGTGGCCTTGTCGCCAAGCGTCATTTCGTCGACGCAGATGACGCATTTGGTCTTGTTGTCCTGGCAGCCCTGGAGCATTTGCTCGTCAATGTCCTTTACTCGGAGCTTCTCAATGGCGGCTTGAGAGGCCGGAGGGGCGCCGCCTGGGTTCTGCGCGGCGTGCTGCTCGCGCAGCTGGGTGATGATGCGGTCAAAGGCCTCTTGCGAGTAAACGCCGTCGTTAACAAAGTTGAGGTTGCCGAGAACAAGAGGACTGAGAGGGCTGAACATGGCGGACAAGATGGCGTTCATGAGACCAGCTGGTACGGGACCAGATCCAAAGGGGGATGATTGGCCTTGGGTGGCTGGCTGGGGACCTTGCTGGGGCTGTTGCTGCTGGGAGGCTTGTGGTTGTTCGCTACTGGATTGTGGCTGTTCTTGGTCGGAGGCTTGTGCTTGTTCGTCATTGGATTGCGACTGTTGCTGCGCAGTGCCTTCGGTCTGGTTGGTGTTGCTCGAAGCATTGGATGCCGGAGCAGTGTGGGCATGAGGAGGCCTAGGCGTAAAGAAGTGCAATCCAAAGAAGGTGATGGGGGACGGGCCAGAAGCGGTAGAGCCGTTAGGAGTGGGACCATTGGTGGATGTGTTGGAAGCATTAAATTGCTGGTTATTAGGCTGCTCATTCGATTGCTCGGTAGATTGCGCCTGGCCATTTGGCTGTGAGCCAGCTGGTTGCTGTTGAGAGCGTGGGGTGAGAGGCTCGGAAATTACGGTGGTGAAGAAGGTCACGGGTGGGAAGATGAAGCGGATATCGAAGTGCTGGGTGTTGGTAGAGCGAGATCCAGATCGAGGGGCTTCGGTGTTGGAAGCATTACTGGTCTGCTCCTGAGTGCCTCGGTTGTTGGTCTCATCTGAAGTCTGAGTGTTTCCGCTGGTTGTTGGTGTGCCGTTGGCTTCGGTCTGTGGTCTCGCATCATTATGGTCGTTGCTCTCGTTGACATTTTGGGTCTCTGTGTTGGAGGTTGGAACCTCTGTGGGCTGTTGAGACTCGGTCTCGGTGGCAGCAGCAGAATAGTCAGGTTGAGGCTCGTCCTCTGCAGGCGCGTCTTCTACGGTAGCAGGCAAGGGCCGGCGGTGGAAATGGCGCGGGTCATTCTCAGGCGTGATCTGGCGATCCTGGGTTAGTAGCGTTGTCCTGGTATCCAGAGTTGTTGGCGAGGTTTGGTTGCTGACAATTTCCGTGGTTGCGTTGTTGCAGGCAGGGCACTCGAGGGTTTCGCCCTGGCGCTGCCACTGGTGATGGCAGGCGTGGCAATACATTTGGTCTGGTGATGGAGTTGTGGAAGTAGACTCGTTGTGTATCGAGTCAGCCATGTTGGTGATACTCTGGCTGGCGTGGCAGTGAAAAATTTCAGCTCTCGAATCCTAGCGGATGAATCGAGTCAAAGGAGTCAAGCAATAGGACTCGGCGATGTGAAAAGTTTCATCAAAGGGAGTACAAGTGGGAAGATATTGTCCAGGGACCAGACGAGTTATTTGTCTGGAGATATTCAAGCGGGAATGTGGATTATGAGGAGTAGGTAGGGTGGAGTATGGAAAGGAAGAAGTTGAGGAAGTTGTAAAAGGGCAAGAATCAGATATCGAAGTCGAGATTGTGGATTTGTAAAATAGAAAGGGCCAAGACCGCCACTTCTGCACCACCAAAAGAGGTTTGATAACGAAGTGGAAGCTGCCCGCGTGGCCGTGACCCTTTCCGTGGTTCGGTTTTAGACTGGATTGACGTTGCGTGACGCGATTCGGGGATATCGCTGACACATACTCGTAACCGACAGGAATGGCTGTCGACAGCGCGGTTCCAGCGCAGTTGTTGCTGTCAGCGAGCTCTCTTCTAGAAACTGCGATTGTCGGCCGCCCCTTTCTACACGGTGCTATGGAGGTCATCCTTGGCCAATCACAGTGTACCACCAGCCACAATCAAGCGGCGTTTACACCGTAGGTTGGACCCTTTGTGGCTGCTGCTGCTGAATAATTGGCGCTTTCGGACCTGTTCGGCAACTAAGCGGTCCAACCGGTTATCCGGGACGGCTGGGAATCATCCAAACTGTAATGGTCTGCGGCCAGTGGCTTGGAGGCAATGTATGCCCGACTTGTGATGTATTGGAGAAGGATGGCCTTCCAAGTATTGTGGAGGCCACAAATCTGACTAAATACCCAGTACTGGGCATACACCCTGTGCCTGGCACTGTGGGTTGTACCCACCACTTCCACATGTGGGGTTCTGGGCTTGTGCCCTGACAATCTGCCCCCCCAAAAAATGCGCTGCGCCCTCGCAAGCGTAACTAGTTACATACATTAAAGCTGTCTATGTGGTGTTGAGTCCGTTTTTCTCAATTTATCAAATCGCTAATCCTAATCCGTTTCTTCTTGTCCTCCCATTGCTTCATCATCCTTGCGCCGTCGTCTCCCATCTGTTCCAGTGTCTTCTATTCGTCGTATTCTGGTCCCAGGTTCTCGCAACGGAGCTTGTAGTGCATTTTGCGGCGGATCTCCTTCTCTTCAATGATCAATCTTGGGTAGTCTATTGGCCTAATGGGCCCGATTTGAGGCAGTTGTCTGCCGTAGACATCAAATAGTGCTGGTTCCAGATAATCAAAGGAAATGACATCGTGAATTTTCCATAAGTCTAGTAGTTCGAATCGATATGCAAGTCTGCTAATACGTTCCTTAATCCTGAATGGTCCCGTATATTGAGGTCCAAACTTCCTATTTGCGTTGGGTATAGTGTATCCTTTGTATAAACGAATAAGGACTCTATCACCTACGTTGAAGAACATTGGCTATTTTCGTTAATTATAGTAGTGTTTTACTGTGATTCCGGCTAAGGTTATACTGTCCTATATAGAGATGCGGTGAGTCGGGAAGTTAAAGTTAAGGCCGCGGTCGGCCTGTCTACCGCTGATAATATCTGGGATGTAATTTGGAGTGAATCCGAGAACTGCCTCGTTGGACATTATGTTTATAAATAAGGTAATGGAGTTGTTGTATTTAAATTAGAGTCGAGGCAGCGTTGATAGCTATCGACTTGAATTATCCAGGTAATTGATATAGTGCCGAAGGGCGGTTTGAATAATCTGGATCACGCGCTCTATCTATCCGTCTGTTTGTAGGTGGTAGGCTGTAGAGTATAATAGGGTAGTACCCAGATTTTGCCACATTGCTTTCTACAATACTAAGAGGAACTTTGGATTACAATTTAAGATAATGATTTTCGGGATTCCCTAATTTACTTATAGTAAGTTGTCTATAAAACGTTGAGCCTACTGTTTCGCCATCTACGTAGTTTTGCCGGGCGTCAATAGTAATTCTTTGGTCAAGCGATTAACTACTAGTATTATAGCGTTGTAGCCGTGTTCTTTATTTGGAGGTAGCGATAGGATAAAGTCGATACTAATGGTGTAGTATGGGTATGGGGTTTAACTCAGAATTGGTTGTAGGTTCCCGTATAGCTTGTGACGCCGCTTCTCGAACGTTAAGCAACTTGGGTATACGCGTAAGTACTACTTTAGTTCGTAGGTCCTTCGCGGAATGAAATATTATTGAAGATAGTAACTTAGGCGTTAATAACCTAAATAATTGGAACTGTAAAAGGTTTCGAATAGTATAGGCAAGTATAGGCTCCTTGGGATGTAGAGTCTATCTGGAGTGCCAGGCTCAGTCTTCTACAAGAGTCCGTCTTACTATTTAAACAGAATAATAGTTCGGTTCTAGGGCGGCAATTTCTGGTTTTTTAACAAGATTTAGGATACTCTTACCTAGTATTGATCTTGGTTATACCCCTTTTGAATTAATTCCTTAAAATTAGGGGTTATTTAATAGAGGGTAATATTTGGCTCAAGGCCGGGGCTTACGGGTGAGTCGGTTCCGCCTTAGTAGTAAACCTAATTCGCTGCCTATTATTTATCGAAGTCGTTAAGTAGCTTGTCAAGACCGCCCTCGTTAATATAAGGCAAGTCGGAGGGATCATCCACGCGTTTCAGTCTTAATAGGGCGTCGGGAATCACGTAGTATTTGCCAAGCTTATGAAGGACTTGGATAAGGTCCTGGAATTGGCTGGCATATTCTATGGCTCGGATGAGTTTTTTGTTCCCGACATTGGAAGCCGTGGAATTAGCGATGTCGATTTAATTAAATAAGCCTACAATAGCTTTGTGGTCCGTATACAGAGTTGTTAGTAGTTTAGTTGTCGCGTCAATCTATTTTCTACATTTTTATAAAGTCTATACGAATCTAAGGACCTCTATTTCGGTTGGCCAGTAGCGCTTCTTAACGTTTGACAGAGTGCGAGATAGGAAGGCGATGGTCTAGTAATGCTACCTAGTGGGGAAACCCTCGATTCGGTTATTCAAAGTCAGCCTTCCGATCTTACGGTCGTCGATATAGTAGACCTCAATGCCGATACTATACTTAGAGATGTTAAAGTTAATAAATACTTTTTTGGACGCTACGAAGAGCTGAAGTTTTACATTGTTGGTAATAGCGCGTTTGATTTCGTTAAAGGCTGTAATTTCTTTTTGAGTTGGGTATTCTAAGGGAACTCCCGGTGCCTAGCGTTTTCGCTTTCTTAACTTTTAAGCCTTATTAATTAACTCGGTCTTACGCTAGTCCAGAGGCTAAATTAAGATGCTATAGAGTAGGATGTTATAGCGTAGGTAAGTCGCCAGACTAATAAAGTAGTCTAGTTGAGCTAGGGTCCGGGGGAATTCGAGTTTTGATATGGCTTCCAATTTTTCTTCCGATGTGGACATGGAAAAGGCGTCTACTAATCTGCCTAAGACGGGTACGCTTAGGAAGGCAGCGAAGTTTTTGGAAGTATTAATAGAAATATTCCGTTTTCGAAAGACTTCGAATATTACCGTTAAATTGTAAATGTGTTGCTCCAGTGTCTTAAAAGATATCACTACGTCGTCGCAATAATTTTCAGCGGTATCAATGTGAATTAATATTAAATCTATCTACCGTTAAACGTATGCGTTTGAACTTTTGTATCCTATTACCGCGTAGGTAAAGGTAAATTGGCCTTCTAAGGTTGTGATTGTTAAGGCCTATTTTAATTTAGGGTGGACTTTCTATTGGTAGTAGAAGGCGATAGTATTAAGTACAGTAATAAATCTAGCGTTTCTTGCCGCAATATTCCCCAGAATCTCGTCTTAGGTCTTTATTAAGTAGGCGTCGGGGATAGCCATTCTATTAAAGCCCTTAATATTAACGACTATCCGGCCTTTTCTTACGCTATTGACGGTACACTAAACGATAAAAACCGGAAATACGAAAGGGACTTAGTAGCGCGTTCTGTGTATCTTGCCTAACTAGAGAAGCTTGTATAAGGTTTCTTTTACTACTTCTCGGCCGTTAGGTCCTAGTGGATAAATGCGGCTGTGTTTTGGGATTTAATTGTACCAATCGGGTTTGAGGTTAATTCGTATCCATTCCTCTTTTAGGATATCAACGAACCCTTTATCGCGAAATACATCTTCGTATAACGCCAGAATCTGATTTATAGCGTTTAGGGTTCGTGGGTCTGAGTTTCTATGAACTCGTACTCCGGTATAATGCTGGAAGACGTCTTTATCCACAATTTCTGTGTTAGACGTATGATGCTCCGGATTGTAGTAAGTAAAAGCTGCTGCGGCGGTTAAGCTATCTTCCTAGACTTGGACGCCTCGGCAGGTATCGTCTATTAACGTTAGGTGGCCGAGTATTTAATTTCGTTGGATAGTAATATAGTGTGGAAATGGGTTGACGATGGGAATGTAGTTTAATGATCCTGTGGTAAGCAGAGCGTAAGTGCTAAAGCCGTTTCTATTTAAAATATTAGGCTCGAAGATATAGTCAAACTCTTCGTTAACGGTACTGTGGTTGACTCCGATGGCTGTTGTTGACTTAGGTAGTAAATGTATTTTTTCAATTGCTTTGATTTTAACGTTGTAGGATTTCCCGATCTTGGCTTCCATCGGAATTGTTGTGCCGTATAAGGTAATAATAACCTGGTTCGTTGAATTTATAATATCGAATCCCTCGGGACTTAAAATATCTATGCCAATCAATAGTTTAGCCGCAAGGTTGTCCACCAGGGCTACCTCACGTTCGAAAAATACCAATACTTATTTTCCCTAAGTATCGATGCTTTATATATAGATGGGTAAAATAATATAGTCACTTGTAGTATAAGAATTGTTTCCGATTCCCCTTATTATCAATAGGGTTAATCGTCGGCGTGTTTAAATTTGTGGGTAGTTGTATCGTACCTATACTCTATCTGCTAGAGAGGCAGAGCAGCCTATGTCTATGTATACATCGTGCTCGACGTTAGACTTGGGGTTGGGCGTTACCTAGACTTTGAGGTAGGTCCACCGCCTGTATCCGAAGCCCGTGCCGTGGTCTGCGGCCGAGTTGACGGTCGATTTTCGGATCGGGAGTCTGAGGATTGGGGTTTGACGTGGAGTTTCTACAGAGTGGCCGGTGGCCGACTCTACGCTGGTCACGGGTATAGGCTCCTATTGAGCGCCCTCGTTTGGAGCCTTCAGTGGTGGCGGGGGCGTGGGTCGTTTTTTGGAACGACGTGGTTGGAGTCCTGGGTTTGGTTGACGTATAGTACGCTGGGCTCCTTAAGCTTGGGGTGTTGGGTTCGGACGTGGTTGTAAAGTTTGTTTCCGCTTGGGAAGGAGTGACCGCAAGTCTTGCAACGGTGGTTGACTTGAGAGCGTTCGGTGGTACCAAACCACGCGACGTCGGGATGGTCATGATGCTCTGATTCAGGTGGTTGAATCTCGGCATAATGGGCGTCGGCTTGTTGGGCTTCGCCGTACTGCACTTCCTCGTAGTCGGTCCCGTTGTTGGGTTGAGACAGGTCTTGATCGGGGACTTCCTGGACCGATGTTTGGAACGCTGTTGGATCATTCACTGGCTCCGTTGAAACAAGGTAGCCTTGGTCATTAACGTAGTAGGCGCGAGGCTGCTGGAGGTTCCCTTGCTGATTTTGCTGAGGGGGTGCTGGCAAGCGTCTGTTTTTAGGAACTAGTGGTTGACGTTGCTGTTGGCCTTGATTTTGGCGTTGATTTTGAGGAAATTGATTGTATTGATTTTGCTGCTGACTTTGATTCTGATGTTGAGCTTGAGGAAATTGATAGTATCGATTCTGAGGCTGGCTTTGGTTCTGATTTTGAGCTTGGGGAAATTGATAGTATCGATTCTGAGGCTGACTTTGGTTCTGGTTTTGAGTTTGGGGAAATGGATAGTATCGGTTCTCAGGCGTGAAGTATTGTGTTTGACGCGGGTTTTGGGTCTGGCGGCTTTGTTAGAAGCCTCCCCGGCTTCGTCCCCCTCTGGCTGGCAAGAAACGTTGGGCTCGTCGGCGGAGCACACTCTCTCGGGTCTGTATGTCTTTAAGGAAATTGTCCATTGAGGTGGTTGAGTCCGGCTTGGTGATCTCAGTTTGGATGTCTCCATCAAGTGCCTCGTATGCAGCAATCAACTGGCCTTGGGTGTTCATTTCGCAAGCTCTGGCGTTCTTGATTATGGTTTGGACAAATGATGTAATATCTTTGCCGAGTGTTACGTCGTAGAGTGAGAACCTGGATTGCTTGATTACATCCATTGCAATAGAGTAGTCGATTTTGAACCTTGACTTAAGTTTGAGATAAATAGCTTCGACAGTCGCGGTAGTTAGCAACGCTCTGTCTGCGTTAGTCAAGACGTGGGAGTGCCAGACAAGAGCTGGCCCAAGTAGGCATTGGGTCTAGACTTTTCGGACTGCTTCCGCCCCATAGTATGTCTCCAGGTCCGTGAGTCTGTCGCAGAACGGGTAGACGTTATAATATTTAGTAAACTTTCTATCTGTAACAACGCCAGAACCCGAAGGGTCATTAATGGATGGATCAAAGTAACCCACATCGCTTGGCTTAAGGCTGGTAGATGCTGCTGATCCGGGGACAGCGGGAGCCGAATTCCATGCTGCAGCGAAAAGGTTTGCTATGTCCTAGTTAGCCGTTTCGCGGGCCCTCTGGAAGGCCGCGGCCATCAGCTCAGCTGCAGCCTGCCGAGTCAATGGTTGGTTGGGGTTATTATTATTATTATTCGACGACATCTCGTTAGGATTAAGGCTGACTTGACGTTTAGGACTGAGTTGACGACCAGGTTGTGAGTCTGATTTGGCTGCTGGCTGCTGCCGGGCTGTAGAGTCTTTATGCGCAGTGTTTGATTCTGGGTTGGTGGAAGATGTAACGTCGACGTCGGAGTCGAAGCTCGGGTTGCGGCTTTCAAAGTTGAAGCTGATATGGGGTGAATCTGGATAGTTGCTAGGTATCCTATCTGCTGTCGTTTGACGGGATGTAGCGTCGCCCGGCCTGAATTTCCGGCTTCGAGGGGTACCGGTCTCAATGTCGTCGTCTTCCTGGAGATTGAGATTCCAACCGTCAACTGCGGGTGGCGATGATCTCAAAGGCGAACGTCTGGTCCGAGTGTTGATTGGTGACGGTCTTGCTGCAGGGGAATGTCTGACAGGGGAGTGTGGGGAATTGACGAATGATTGCTCGTCAAGTAGACGGGGAGTTTTCCCAAAGGCTTGGGGTCCGAACTGACTTTCCCGAAATTCAAGAAGGTTGTATTGGGGTTCTTGGTCTTTAGGGAGCTGGTCCAGCTCCTCAACTGGCAACGTCGACGAACCGAGTGGGTCGGGTGATGATGAGCGGTCTTGACTTGGACTTGCTAGTCTTGGGACCCGTGTTGATTTTGGGACTTGGATTTTAATACGACGGACTGTAGATGGTTGAGTGGAAGGTCCGAAGGGAAGGCTTTGGGTGGTTGAGTTTGATTTCGAGGATCGAGATGATGGTGCTGATGATAGTGTTGATGTTGAAGCTGTTGCTTTTGCTTTCCCTTTGTCTTGGCGGGGTTGGCCACTGGGCGAGTTTGGTGCCGCCGAATCTATCCCAGCGGAGCTGTCGCGGCTGGCTTCAGTGGAAAGGCCCTGTGGGGAGCCTGTTGGAGAGCGCTCAAGCGCTGTACGAGCTTTCTGTCTGAACTAGAAAAGAACGCTAGGAAGCGAGCCCTTTTGGGATTCCCAGGTTTGAGGATAGGGATTTCTATCGTCTGCTTCCACTGGGTCCGCCTCGGGGTTGAATGCTGGCTGTAGACGGCGAGCTAGATCCAAGTCCGACTCGGTGATCTTCACTGCGTAGGGGTGCTCGGCAGCGTGGAAACGTAGCAGTTGTCTTGCTCGCTGTTTAGGGTCGATGGGCTTGTTTTTGCCCATGGATCAAGGAAGACTGGGTACGACTCTGGCGTCAGACTTGACGTCCGGCGTGGTTGTATTGATGCGAGGCCGCGTTCCGAGGTGGGCGGGGAGACGCAGCGTCTGGCGACTTGATTAGTCTGGCGCTCGAAGCTGGCGGATTCAGGAATCCTGGCGAACCTTGATTCTGGTTGGTCGTCAGTTCGATTCTACTGGTGTGGGCACCAGATTGTAATGGTCTGCGGCCAGTGGCTTGGAGGCAATGTATGCCCGACTTGTGATGTATTGGAGAAGGATGGCCTTCCAAGTATTGTGGAGGCCACAAATCTGACTAAATACCCAGTACTGGGCATACACCCTGTGCCTGGCACTGTGGGTTGTACCCACCACTTCCACATGTGGGGTTCTGGGCTTGTGCCCTGACACAAACTCATCAAGCCGCACCTGCAGATCACCGGACGCATTTCGTCATAGCGCTTTCCGGGGTATTGATTGTGGTCCCTTTGATTCATGTTGTCATCCCGACCGAAATCAGTTCTTTGACAGCACAGCAAGCTTCACGAGGTGCGACCAAAAGAGGAAAGAACTTCGACCAGTGGCAGAGCACGTGTGCAAATGTCTACACTTAGCTTCTGTACTTGGTGCTGATTATTAACAAAGTCCGGTATAGTGTAACGGTTAACATATCGCGTTTTCACCGCGAAGCTCGGGGTTCGATTCCCCGTACCGGAGTTTCTTTTTTCTTTCTCTTTTCCCTCATGTTCTTTTCTCGTTCCAAGTCTGGGCTGATCCATCATTCGCTTTTTCAACAATTCGCTTTTTGTTTTGCGGAGTTGGTTCGTGGAACAATCGAGATCCGAGATCAGGATGACACATTCCCGTCGCGAATGATCCGAGCGGCTTCTCTCTCACATTGCGCTCTGCCCAACCGAGACACCTCTACGTTTCCGCTCCTGCTGTGCCTCATTTCAAAGCTGCGCCTTCATTTTGCTTAACACCGACGTTCAGGTAAACTGCACTTGATGCAACCCAACTGGCTAGAGGCAGCCAGCGTTGCACCTCATAAGGATGCTGTTATTTTGGGGATTGGCCGCGGCGCGCGTTCTCGACTCTTCTCCTCTTCCAGCCTGGGTATCATGATTACCTCTAGGGGCATTCTTTTTTTTTTTTTTTTTTTTTTTTTTTTTTTTTTTTTTTTTTTTTTTCTCCCAACAATGGCGATAGTTCTTGCCCGTTAAGATCGCTAATTTCTAGGACGCATGTTCTCTTTGTCTATGTGTCGTCCATCTTGGCTGCCTGGAAAATGGCATCCTGCCATTACCGCCCACTCGAAAGTGAAACCCATATCCAGATTCTTATATCGACCTGGTGCTGACTGGCAATGAACAGCTACTATCGCGATCGCTTGTTCATGCCAGTCGGCAGGATGGCTGGGTCTATGACGCACTTGCTGGGGACCTTCCGACTTCTGCCGCGAAAAATTCATCGACGGCTGCAAGCTGGCCATAACTGCCAATCTGGAGATGGCACCGAAGAGTGTATGACGAGTGGCATATCATATGCAGGGCACACCAAGCCCGATTCCAGTTTGGGCGGACGGTGTCCAGATCAACCAAGAAATTGACGGTAAATGCGAGCGCAATCATCAGGTGCGCCTCATGTCGCGAATTTACAGCAACTGCCGGACAGGTCTGCTGTACCTAGGAGAAGAGACGGACGGTAACGCGACTATAGGCATGATTTAGCACACCGTCAACGCGTACTACCGCCGACACGAGAGGCAGTTTTGAATATAAGTCTGGACCCAGTCGCTCGCCGGCTTCAAGGAGAAGAGTGTCACCTATGACGAATTGGACGGGTGGCGTCGTTGGCGTCGTCTCGGAGCGTTACTAGAGGTATGTTGCCCATGATTTGGGTGGATATGGGTGGTTCATGAGTTCGCATTGCCTCAACGGATTCGTATGATATGTGGAAACTGGGAAGCTGCTACCACTATAATCTCGAACATGGCATCGATTTTCCCAGCCTGGGAACAGTCACCTATCGCCATGCAAGCGCTACACGGCGCCACCGGGGGGACAGAGGAGTAGACTGGGAAGGTTTTCGAAAACGCCCCACTTGATATGAGAACAACGCCTTGACAAAACAATCGGAAAAGTTCATATTGCCCTGAATGGGCGTTCACTCCTTGTTGAAGGCTGCTATGTTGGAATCGTCACAGCTACAAACTGTTCCGCGCCGAAGGATATCATCCGACTCATGAACTGGATTGAAGAAGTTAACACAATGGCAGCAAAGAGCCGATCATACCCTTGTGGTTTTCAGACAGAGGAAGTCACAAGAGCGAGACCGGTGCCTAAAGAGTTCAAGTTTACTTGTTGGAGGTGTGGTCGGCTCGCTTTAGCGGACCCTGACCTCTTAATCATACTGACGAGGGAATTTGGAACGTTACTGATCAGTTTCTCAACGTCGTGACCGGCGACAGAAGGGTCCGAATAAAGTTTTCATTACGATTCGTGGCATGTTCGAGCTGATTCCCGGTAATGCTGAGATTAGAAATTGTATTGTGGTAGTCAGAGGTGATGCGCGTCTAACCAAAGGGAAATATGCCATCAAAAAAAGTTTTAAAGGAGAGAATGGAACTCCAAGTTGTACGTGGCTGGGGCATGCGTACGCCCACGACATATGGAAGATGAAGCACTACAAAGAGCTTGGAGACTGGGAAGTCTATCAGGTCAAGTAACTTTCAGCGTTCGCTTTGTGGTCATCGAAGTGATTGAAAGGACGGCAAATATCCAGGTGCACTGCTATGTTTGTTTAAGTTGATCTCGTGGTAGAAGAGCCACTGGCTTTATTTTTATTTCAGACCATCACCCAGTCGTTCCCCGTACCTTTCTCGTCTCAGAAAGAAGGGTACTGCTCGTTTTGATCCCACTACGTCAACAAAGCAACAATGTCAGCACGTTACGTCAAACTCTACAACACCAGAGACAACTGAACTCACATGCTCAACAATACACCCACCCTCCATGCGATATCTATCAACAATCTCGCCAAAGTAATTGGTCCGATAATTTAACCATCCAAACTCGCCCTTGAACGTTCTTCTCAACGAAGTGATCTGGACCGAGTCCCAGTAGGGACCGAGGGCATCGAGAGCAGCGTTGGGGCCGTTGGCGCTGGCAAACGGGTTATGGTTCTGTCACTCGTCGACGAAATAACACCGTTAGCATACGGTAAGTAAGATCAAATGGCACTACCGGGGATGTGAGAAAGAAGAAAAAGGCATACAATGTACGTAGCATCAATGTACTTAAACGCTTTAGTCAAGTTCTTGGTTTCAAGAAAGGCGTGGGCGAACTTCTCGAAGCGTTCGGCTGATTCCTGCTCGGTGGGAGGAGGGCTGAGCTGCGGTTGGCATGGCGCTGGGGTTACCACTGCTCTTGCTTGGTGCACTCTACTTGGAATCACATCCTCGAAAGGTGTTGGGGCGGCGAGGGCGCCGAGGGGTGCTACGAGAAGGAAGAACGAGATGGAGGTGATGTCACGCATTCTTGCTTTTGATTCAGCTTCCTCTTAGCCCCTTGATGATTGAACTCAGGAGAAGAAAGAAAGGCTCAACGCGACGATCTTTCAATCCCACTTTATAGATAACTACATGTTATCTGATGCGGTAATGGCCTGATATTGATCTCAGTTAACCCTTCCTTTTCTCTTACCTAGCCCACGGATGCCATATTCACTGGTGATATAGCATGTCGTGGCCTTGGGCGAATCATGTTGGAGATTGAAAAATAACCGACGGGCGGGACGAGTATTGTGATTGAGACAGCCGTCTCATCTACGACGTTGTGAAGGAACATTGTGTTGCGATGATGAAACGGAGCACCGGTCGGCTAATTGGCGAAGATCTGGGCGTGGCATGTTACCCCGTTTGCGTTGGACACAACGAAGACTCGGGAGTGCTGTCCTGCTTTCGAGGCAGTGGCTACCGAAGAGGTTCATCGTACTTGTAGACAGGGTAGGTAAACATACAAGTAGGAACTATGTCTTCCGCAACCAAAACGATCCTCAATCGCTTCATATGCCATTTCACTCTCCACATGTCTGAATTGCACCCACCCCCCGCTAGTCCTTCTCAACTTGGCCAACTGTCGAGTATCAGATGGAAGCGAGGTATGGCTTTGCGCTAAAGTGTTACAAGTTGTGAGGGAGGGCGGGACTGATTGTTTACTCAATCTAGGAATATCTACCTACTTTCCAGACTTGGTCAATGTCAATCACAAGGGCTCTGCGTCGTCAGAAGTGAACCGCTAATCTCGGCAATCAAGAGATTGTGAGCCGAAGCGCTGAAGGGATCACCGCTGAGCCTTATGCTACACGTGCGCCCGCTGAGAGGTTTCGGTTGGTGTCGTTTCTAGATGAGATGCGCGAGACAAGGATATCCGGTCATCTCTTTGGTCTTGGTGTCTTGGTGGTGTCATGAGGTTTGGGGATGACCCGAAGCCTGGAAGTTCCTGAGGTGCTGAGGTACTACTCTCTCACATGGTGGGGTGGCTAGCCTCCAGAATACTACGCAGTAGCGCGGGATGGAGTGGCGAAGGAGGGATGATGGGGGCTTCGAGGTTGGTGAGGGGGGGAACAAAGCAGCCCAGCCGCTGATTGCATTTTCTCATGCAATTCGCAGAAGCTTGGCACTGGCGCAGGAAGGTGCAGATGTTTCCAACTTAAAATGGGTGTGTGTAGAGGTATCCATACGCACGGCAGAGAACGACAGGATTCCCGATGGTAACAGTACGGTACCTAGTCCCATACGTACCACCCTCCTGCCATCCTGCCATTACCGTCATTCATTGTTTTCCTCAATCTGGCATTTCTCCAAGTCCAGAACTTGGCACAGGATATGACAGGTAGTGTAAGTAAATCCATCCATCACCCGCCTTCATCAGGGTCTGTTGCGCTCACTGCAAATCAAGTGAACAGCAGGACCGGATCAGTCTGATGACAGGCTTCAAAGGCGTGATTTTAAACACACCTCAGCAGATAGCCGTTTGAAAGCAACGGCCAAAAAGATTTCGGTTCCACTTCCCTTGGTGCATGGAAGACTGAGGAAAGAGTGCGGCTACAGCGACCAGGGCCCAATCTTTACAGGACCACTCGGGGCTACAGATACCTACAGAACCGACCGCCAACGGTGGGGTCTCAGCTGGGTACGTACCCCCCAGTCCCCTCTTTAGTCCCCCCAAAAGAAGAAAAGTGGCACAGCCAAGACTCCGACCACACGCCGTCGACTGACATCCAAATTTATCACTTATCTTTCCATTTCGCTAACTCTGCCTCTTCCTCCAGAACCTCAAAACAACATACTCCATCCCATCTTCGCATCCTGACAGCAATCTTCACCTTCGCGAATCTTGCATACAGTGTTGTCCCTTTTCTTCTGCGCCGAGACAAGGTCCTGGCAGATAAAAGGAGGCCCACCATTTCCCGTCCCATCGCGTTTCCACCTTATTTCTCCCCTCCACGACCTAGTCCATTGACCTTCGAGACCCCATACCCCTCCTCCTCGTTTCCTCGACTGCCTGCCTACCCTGCTTGCCTTATGTCGTTACGGCTACCTTGATCGACTTATCGATAAACATTGTACCACCCGCTGTACCACCCCGCGCCCGCACGACAACCCGAACGTCAACCTCCAGTCTTCGTGTGTGACTGCACCTGTACGACCGACCGCGCTTATCTCGAGACCTGCGGACGTGCGCTCTACATCAGGATCACTTCATACTCACGGCGTGCCCCTCACCTGCGACCTTAGCTCCCCCTGGTTGCAAAATCATCGAAGCCCTCCTTTAGCACTGCTTCTACCAACAGTTTCTTCACAAAGATCCCACATCAACGACCAAGGTCAATCGCACCACGATGGCCTCCGTTTCCACCACGGCGCCGAATGCCCACACACGTGCGATGCATAATGACCTGGGAAGGGAAGATCAGACACTGCTCCTGTTTGCCCACCTGATGGAGGGCGGCAAGGAAGACGATGAGACGGTTGAAAGTTTGGGCAAGCTAACCAAGCTGCTCAACGACGATGTCGAAGCCACAAAGAAGGGAGAGAAATCCATTACCGCCGTCATAGACAGTGACTGCGTCGATACCATATTGTGTTATCTGGATATGAGACAGACCGATGTTGTTCGCGGCCATGCTGCTCTCTGCACCTCTGCTTACCTCAAGGCCGCTGGCGAGGACGGCAGCAAGAAGCTCTCCGCCTTCTTCCTCGACCGGATCCAACGCGGCACTTACGACGACTATATTGTGGCGTTTTGCGTGGCAGCTACCATCTTCCCCATCGTCCCCGATCTCACGTCCGAGCTTTTCCTCAGCGAAGGCTTCCTCCCCAGTCTAGGCCCGCTTATGAGGCGCAAGTGGAAGAGCCGCAAGGTCGAGACAGCCTGCCTCGAAATGCTCAACGCTGCGTGCATGCACTCTCACTGCCGTGAAGCTGTCCAGAAGTACTGCATCGACTGGCTAGAGGAGATTGTGGACCAGGATACCGAGCAGGTTGTCGAGTCCATGTACACCACCGATCCCGACACCGCCACCCAGGAAGGTTCCGTTTCCATGAGGAGGCACTCGATCCATGTCCAGAACCTGGCCGCCGTGGTTTTAACCAAGCTCAGGGTGAGCCTCCAACTGCCTCCTTCACCGACCTCCGAGGTTGGCGCTCCCTCCTTCTGATGTCCCTGCGGCTGACATCAGCTCAAGGCTGTTCAACCCGACCAGGCACCTCCAGACTTGTCCGACCCATCCCAGCCCCGGATACAGCCGGCGACAACCAGCGTAGAAGATCTCTCCAAAAAGTTTACCCAGATGCTCATCAAGGACCCCGAACATTCCAGCCAATCCTCGGTCGAAGGACTCGCCTATGCATCGATTCGCGCCAAGGTTAAGGAGGATCTAGCCGGTGATCCCCAATTTCTCAAATCACTTGTAAAAACACTCGAGTCGGCGCCGCCCAGGTCCCCTCTCATGTACGGCGCACTCAGCATTTTCCTTAACCTTACCCAATACCGTCCCGCCCTCACAGAAGAACAAAAGCGCATAAGTCAACTCAAGGCCTACGCGGATGCAGTAGGCAAGCTTCAACCCGACCCCCTGAACGACAACGAACATGTCAGCGCACGCTGTAAACGTGTCTTCGAAGCCGGCCTCACCCCCGTTCTCGTGACGATCAGCAAGACCAGCTCCGTAGCCTCCCTCACCCTCATCATCTCGATTCTCAACTCGCTCTCCATGACTCCCTCTATGCGGGGACCGCTTGCTCAACAAGGCGCCGTCCGTCTGTTGATCGGTGCCTGGACCAACCTGCCCGAAGGCGACCCAAAGAACATGACAGTCCGACGCACCGCCGCCCAGGCCCTCGCCCGTATCCTCATCTCAACGAACCCGATGCTCGTTTTCGGGGGCTCCACCCCCATCAACACCGCCATCCGTCCCCTTGTTCACATCCTGCTCCCCGACCAAACCGTCGACACACGCGATCTCCTCCCGACGTTTGAGTCCCTGATGGCACTCACCAACCTCGCTGCTGTTGACGACGACACTCGCCGCACCATTGTCCGCGTGGCCTGGAAGGACATTGAGGAGCTTCTCCTATACAACAACCCTCGCATTACCACTGCAGCTGTCGAGCTCGTTTGCAACATCGTCCAATCCCCCGAACAAGCCGAGGCGCTCTTTGCCGATACGAGCAAACCGCAGGCGCAGACCAGGCTGAAGATCCTTGTAGCTCTAGCAGACGCCGAAGACGCTGCTACGCGCAGTGCTGCCGGTGGTGCCTTGGCTGCCTTGACGGGGTATGAGAGCGTGGTGAAGGCTATTGCGGAGCGCGAACGCGGACCGGAGATCATTCTCGGTCTATGTGAAGATGATAACGAGGATCTGAGGCACCGCGGTGTCTTTGTCCTGCTGAATATGGTGGCATGCGAGGGCCAGGCAGGCAAGCTGGCAAGAGAGAAGTTCCTGAGCAAAAACGCGGTGGAGATTCTGAAGACGGTGGTTACTAGATCAAAGAGGAGGGAGATTGTGGAGCTGGCTGTACAGTCTCTGAAGTTGATGCTGGGGAAGGAGTGATTGGCTTTCTGTTGAAAGTAAACCATCCGAGGCTGGTAGGTATACAGGATGCCTTGTTGATTTTGTTTTTCCATCATTTCAACTGTCTTGAGTTTGTCATTGTAAAAACAGGGGTACAATTCACCTACGGGATTGGGGCACGGGCGGGCAAAGAGGGGACAGGCAACAGGCATCGTCAACATTGTTAACATTGTTGACATCTCATTCATCACATTTGGAGTTGGAGCTTTTGTTTAGTAAAGAAGGGGAAGCAGAGACAAGAGGTGTGCGATGAGGAAGATGATCAGATTGGAGAGTAGTAGCAGAAAGGGTAACCGCTGTTGTTATTCACTGCATACATGCCTATGTACCTATCATGATCACATCACGTTTGAACAAACCACGGTCGTGCGTCTTTTTCGTAGATTGTGTTTTAAAGATCTGAGACACTCGGTTGATTGAGGACCTTGAACTAGGTCATCGAACCGGTGCTCATGTCATGTGAAAGGCGCAGGGATATCCTGAGGACAAACCAAAAAGAAGGAAAAAAAACATACAACACCAGGGATTCGCTGGTCGTCACCGACCCAACTACTAGTCTGGCCCTCACTGGCTTATCTATGGGAGAGCGGACGGGATCCCGAGTTTTCCAGTGGGTATGGTCGTATGTATCTGTTTACGGTAAAGCTAGTACTTATGAAGACGCACTGATTTGTTGTCAGGTGAGGTGCTGGACTGATGCTATGTATGGATGTGAGTAGATAGATGGTGAGCGGCAAGTAGACTACCCCTTGACTGATTGGGCAAGTGGGTCGATTGTTTAATGGTGCCTTGAGGCGATTTACACAAATGTTGTCTATATCTCTACCCAGGCGGGTAGTGGAGGATGGGGTGGCGTAGTAACGAGAAGTCAGAAAGGACGATATGGCCCATGCCCATTTGACTTGGTGTGACGTGTCGGGTAGTCGACGTTGGACCTGATGGTGATGGTCTAGATGGGTCTTTCGGAAAAAGAGCGTCAAGCTGAACCGTACTAAGAGAAGGACGGCCCTAGTGAACATACAGATGACTGACAACTACGCAGCGTTCGTGCCTGCTGCACGGCGCAAGAGGTCCTGCATCAGGTTGCTTCTTTCTGCTTTTGTGCGTTGATTAGAAAGTTGGGAAATGGGTCGCCAATGCTAGCATCTAACGCTTGCTTGATGCGTGGTGATGCCGTAACTGTGATATAAGCATGGCAGGGGGTCTTGGGCCATACCTTCCAAACGCAGGAAGTTGTCACCAACAAAAAGAAAATACTGCTGACTGACATCTTCCATCCTTTTGATCTTCTACCTTTCAACGCACATTCACCGGATCAGTTCCACCCACAATGGCCGGTGTCAACACCCAGAGCTCACGTCGCAGTTGTCCCCCGAGGAAACGAGCACGCATCGACAGCTACCTTGAGGATTCATCACCGGCTGAAGAATCAATCGAGACAGCTGAGGCCGTTCTAGAGGCTCCCCCGACCAAGAAGAAAGGCCCCGAGCAAGGAAAGGAGAGGCATATGCCTTGCGGCCCATGCGTCACCAGGGCTTTCACTACGCCCGGCCAGAAATGCTACAATCAAGGTGGACTTGGCGTTGCGTGTTGGCAATGCGCAAAGAACAATCATCAGAAGACATGCGTTCCTGTAGGTTAAGAGAAATTGCACTGAAGCTATCCAGCTACTAAGTCGCATAGGTTCCCTTGCATATCCAACCTAAGCTTAAAGCTTGGTGGGACCAGAATCGTACCGAGAAGGAGGACGATAGCCGTACCAAGGCGTTCATGGAAGAACTCCAAAACATCATCAGGGAGATTAGAGCCCATAACAAAGGCAGTGTTCAACCCCCTCTCTCCGCTACGCCTGGCTCATCCTCTGCGGGCCAATTTCCGTTTACCACCCTCCCCCGCAATAGCCCGAACACCGAAACCGCCGAGGAGAAGGAGTACAGCATTCGTAAAATCGAGGCTTTAGAGGCCATTGCCAACTCTGCCGCCAAATCTGCTGAGGCCTTGAGCCTCCTTGTTAAAAATACAGACCAGATGAAGGATGGATTGAAATATGGAGGATCAGACGAAGCCGAAGAGGAAGAAGACTGTTCCTCTTCTCCTTCTCGATCTACCGATGAGGAATCAATTCTAGCCGTCAAAGATCACTATATCTCTCTTCTCTCCAAGCGCTACGATCCAACCGATAAACCCCTGATCTCCGTCAGCGATCGAGACGCCCTCCTCGCTCTCGCTGCCGCCCGTGATGGCACTATTGGCGGTCTGCTCCAACGAAAGTACATCGTAGCGAGCACCCGCTATCGCAAGGAGCGTAGCAGGCGCACGTCAGGCGCACGGAATCATGGCGCTACGGGCTCGGCGGTCAGGCTGAGAGGCCCCGGTATGGAAGCGGCGCAGCACCGCCTTGTGGCATCAGAACTACTCGAAGATCTTGCGGGGGAGGGTCATGATGGAATGAACTTCGATATGTAAAAGAAAGATTTTAACTGCCAGAGCCTCTTACTCCCAGAGGACGAGCTCGCGATGAATGCACCTTTCGTTTCACCCCTACGTTTAGCCTCACTCCCCTGCGTGAACGCTCCCTCTGGAGATACCTCAACCGTTGTCCCTTTACCAGCCCTGGCAGCGCGTTCGTAAAATACGCACTAGATAACGGGGAAGATGAGGTAAAAACTGAATTGCCATGACAAGAGTCAGCATAGGTTAGAACACAGATGGGACTGATCAGTAAGGATCCTTGAGATTCTACGGTAGGTTGGAACGAGGGTTTCCACAATGAAGTATCATTCAGTTCAAGAAACATCTTCGTGCTATATGTAAAGGGTGCTACCATAATACAGGAAGCAATGCCCAACTGCGCTTACTAAACACAGAGATATCAGAACGAGCAATGTGGCCCATGCCCATCTAACGCGGTGCATTTCATTGTCGTTTCTGTTTTGGTTGCTATCAGGGAGGAGTTTTGCTTCGGCTAGGTATTACTGGATACTTCCATATCAACGACGTGCTCCATGCGTATGACATCGTAATCATGATCTAATCATGAAGTGGAGGGTTAGCGCATAGTTACAGGTGTAAAGGAAAGGTTTAAACGTGCTGACATATTTGTTCCAAGTTCCTATTCTAATCATCTTTCTACGTTTTGTTCAAACACCCACTCCTTCCCCGTCAACTTTACTTCTCCTGTCAAACGAGTTGTTGGTTACTTCGTATTAGAATCAGAGAATATGGCCGATATCAACGCCCAGAGCTCATACCACAGTCATCCCCCCAAGAAACGATCTCGCATCAATAGCGACCTTGAAGACTCACACTCATTCAAAGACTCAGAGTCAGGCAACACCCAAGAGGAGGAGGAAGAAGAAGAAGAAGAAGAAGAAGAAGAAGATGATGATGATGATGATGATGATGATGGAGGAGAAGAAGCACACGCTTCCCCTTCTCCTTCCTCTTCCACCCACCAGAAATTACCACCAACCTCCCGAGACCACTACCACCGCCTCCTGGTCACAAGCAGCGGCCCAAACTACAACCCCATGATCTCCCTCTGCGACCAAACCGCGATCCTCGCTCTTGCCGCCGCCCGCGATCCGTCCACCATTGGCAAACTGCTCCAGCAAAAGTACGACGTAGCATGGGCTCGCCTGCGGCGTAACAGTCGCATCATCAACTTTGACAATTACTATCAAAGGGTCGAAGGCTTGCTTTCTTCCCTCCCGCGAGATCTGAACCCTTCTGAATCAACAAGGACCCACATGAGACAAGCCTGCATTACAATCGATCGGATTTTTGACTCTATCCACCAGCAAGTCGATCACGAGTCGAAACTGGAACCCAAAATTAGTGCGGCCCGGACTATGCAGAGAATCCTGCGTCGCTTGTTGGTATATTCAGTCAATTCTGGTAATATCATTCCGGAGGAGTTTTCCGGCAACGGCCACCTGGGTAGGCTAGGACTAGATGGCAAGATGTCCATGTTGATCAATGGCAAGTTTGATCATAAGAAACACGAAATCAAGCGGATGATGGCGCGCGAGGACGCATGGGGTGGTTCGGATTGGGTAGAGAGAGTGAAGGAGCTGGTAAGCCTGTCGTCGCGCGGGGGTGAGGTGTTCAAGACGTTGGCCCGGGTGTTGGAGGTGGTAGAAAAGGATGCGTATAATCCCGCGACGGATTATGATTCTTACGGAAGGCCTACTTTCTGATTGAAGAAGCGCTGATTGGGTTTACGTCAGGAGGAGGCGACAGGCAGCGAGACAGCCAGTCCCACATGCTGGCTAATGTATGTGAACAACGGGAAGGAGTTGTGTGTATATTATAAGGAAAATTGTGTTGATCAAGGATTCTGCGTTCAATTGACATTGTGATCAGTTCAGAGTTATGTACCCTCTGAGGAGCGCAATTCGTTGTTCTGACGAGTGTCAATTAAGTGTCCGGCAAGTGTCCCCGTGAGCTTTGGTACCTGGTCGACGATCCACGTTCGGACAAGGGCACTTTCCACTTCACACCACACCTCGCACAATACGCGCAAGTCATTAGGTCCAACAGTAGGAGCAACCCGGAGACTCGATCTCATAGAATGAGCGATCGGTCTTAAGCAGTGGATGGAGCACAAACAGAACAACATGTGACGTATCGGAACCAGAGCCAGCCTGAGAGCAAGGGACAGTCGCCGGCGGTAATGCACTGCAAGAGCCCGACGAGTAAGACGTTCGTGAAGGGATTATTGCAACATTGAACTGCCGTTGTAGATTGAATTCGCATGTTGTAGCTCAATATAGGTGCTATTTCTGACAAGCGGCGAAGTGCGAGAGCTTGGGACACCCACCGTCCCCGTTGGAAGCTGTGGCTTCGGGCGTTTCGGTTCTCTTGTCTCTTGATGGAGGCCTTGTACATGGGCTGTAGTGCAAAAGCCAAGTTTTCATTTGGGGCAATTTCCACTTGGCGACAACGACTTCCTCGCTATCGTAGGAGGCCTCGAAATCGTAATCTTCAAGAAGTTCAAGAGGAGGCAGCCGGGGAGTTAGCCATTCCTCAGGCTCGGATTCAAGATTATTCCATTACTCAAGGTCCGACCACTTCTGGTACTCCGTCTGGTAGTCATGGAGCCACAGAAACAACTAGCAAGCAATACCGGTCGGTACGGAACGCAGTCAGATATATGGGGATTGCTTTTTTCTGCTTTAAATGTCGCTTTCTGCATAGAAGCCCTCATAGAAGCTTCACTGCTTATATCGTGGGCATGATATGCAAATGGAGGCGGCCGTATACTCGTCAGTTTCGACAGAGGTAGACAAGGAGGCGGGCGACATGGAGGAGGCGAAGACAGAGATCGCACACAAGCGATCAGGCGCAGACGGGACAGCATACGAAAAGATTTGAAGAGACAATACACATTTGTGGCAAGGATCATGACAATAATTGCCAATGGTGAACTGCAGTGGTGATACTCTCCAGTGCATCATCGGACACCATTTTTCGTAACATATGGAAAGTATGAAGATGACTTCATAAGACACAAATTAAGACAATAAAGGCACATACGACCATACCCACTGGAAAACTCGGGATCCCGTCCGCTCTCCCATAGATAAGCCAGTGAGGGCCAGACTAGTAGTTGGGTCGGTGACGACCAGCGAATCCCTGGTGTTGTATGTTTGTTTTTCTCTTTTTGGCGGTTTTCTCCTTATTATTTTTGACGAGATAAGTGCGTTTTGCAGGCCTGGTGTCAACAAGCCTGTACTTGTACCTGCGACAAGTTAAAGTAATGTAGTTATATGTGTCTCTTCGTACGGCCATTTTTTTGTGGCTGACGCCCAAAACATCTTATACATACCTTGGACAGACACAGGCGTACTGGCCATTTTACCCCTTTACTCTTATCCCATATTGGCTCCGAGGTGGGTAGTACTTGAAAATGTGCCGCCTTTCTCGTTCTTTTGTTTCCCTAACATCAACATCTAAGATGGTACGCCCTGGGAGTGAACCAGACGACTCACCAGTGACAGCTAGAGACCCCGGATCAAGTACAACCTGCCAACGTTCTTGAACAGGGATCCGGTGTCATCAGATATACACTGCCTCTGCTTAGCTTCTTCTGTACGGACGTTGTTAGAGAAGCTGATTAGCTACCTAGGAAAACATAATTACACATCCTGCCGCTATAGACTACACGAAACGAAGATAGACGCCGGGGTCTAGCCTCTGTAGGTTATTTTTCCCGTAGCAAGAGCCTTCATCAGAAAGGCCTCTTCCTTGCCTTCGCTACCGTAAGTCTCAGACCCTGCTTTATAGACTCATAGGTTACTAGTGTTCGGGGCGGCACGCCGCGCCCTTCCGTATGGGTGCAAGGCTGGATTCTAGGTTGTTACGTGCAGAGCTGGATCCTAGGTTATAGCCCGCCAATACCTCTATATAATTGGATTTTAGGCTAGCCGTTTCTTTCAAGTAATTATTTACTTTAATGCCAGGGGGCTGCGCCCCCCGGGACCCCCCCTTAGGATTATTTACACGAAAAGTATACGAAAGCGCGAAAAACGGCTGCACGGAAATACACTAACAGGAAAACCGCGAAACTCAGATAGTGCTAACAATTGTTTTGCGGGCGAAAACCCTGGTTTCAGTCCGTGCGCTATGATTTGGGTAGTGTGGCCGGGGTTTTACGTAAAGACCGCCCGCGAAAGGTACTAACACCTTACCCGGACGTTTGAGAATCCTTGCTCGTGTAGGTATATAGAGAAGTGGGTGGTCTCGTTAGTGTCCGTCCTTAATGCTTCTTCTACGTTATCTTGTAGCTCTGCGATGACTTTCTTCATGACAATACGCTTAGCGCGTGCATTGCGCTGTTGCGATATTTCATACATCACCCAAACGGCAATGGTGAGAGTGGTAAGTGGGACGGTTGCAGCGAAGTAAACCCATAGCTTATCTGAGAAATTTGTCAGTTCAATTAGCCGAGAATATGATACGGACATATATAGCCTACCAATCTTGAACTCAAAGAAAGGCATACTAAAGATCGCCGACATAAAGGTCCCAGGAAGGAATAGGGCACCCATGAATGCCAGACCCTTCATTGTCTTGGAATCTCGAGTAGTCGTTGTGCTGAGGTCAATTTGCCATTGCGCGGTAGCCATGTTCAACTGCCCGTTTCTCTGAGAGTGCTCCAGGGCCATAATATGAATCTAGTCGTCATCCTACATTAACATCATCCCTTATCTGTTTGGCGGACCCGTGTCAAGCGCTCTTGCCTGACCTGATGAGACTTACCGAGCTTTCCAAAGCATGCATGCGCTGCTCCAACTGACGAGTAAAGCCCACAATGCTGTCTAACTGAGCCCGCTCTTCCTTCAAACCCCTGGCTAATCGGGTGTGAATGGCAGTCATCTCGGATGACTTTTCTTTATCAGAGAGTCTAGACCAGAAAGACGCCATTGCTTCTCGAAGTTCATCGATGGCCTTACACAGTGCTGCTGCGGAACTCAATATTGATATCATGCTTCGGCGATTGTCCGGCCAATACCTCCCAATACGCCGAAAGTTCCATGAATTCGGCCTGTTTGTAAATATCCTCCTAACACCATGCTTGACTTCACGCGTGTTACACGCGAGGATGAGTTCCATTTGTTCAGCCATCGATGCAGCATCGAGGTGTCTTTGGTTCAATCGAAGTCTAACACTGCGAATCATGATGTAAGGTAGAGTCAGCGGGTGAGCAACCTTGCAAGTAATTCTGCTGATTTCGTCGAAGCATTTGCTCATGTCCTTGCGCATGTCCAGTCTTCCAAACCCCTCGTTCAAGCGAAAAAGTGCTGTCGTCTCGTTGCTACTAAATGCGTAGGTAAGGAAAAGCTCAATCTTGTCCTCGTAGCAGTGCGAGTAAGCAGAGTCCTCTCGCATATACATATATATTCGTTGAACCTGATGTCGGAATACAATACCTTTAGCAACAGTCAGCACCTATCACACACACACACACACACACACACACACAGCTTGAGGGCTCGACGTTCAACTTAAATGGCCGTTGCGCCATATCTAGCCATAGATATGGGTTTCCAAGGCAGTGCAGAAGGTAACTCACGCATAAGGGACTCATTGTTTTCCTCTGCAAATTCCAAGTCGAAGAATGAGCCAATTGTTCTGTCAATATCCAAAGAGAGCAATGGCAATCTCAGGTTTTCCATCATGACTTGGTAGGTATTTGGCGGTAAGAACCATACGTCTTGAGCTTTGTCCGCGAGTGTCGCGATGGACAATTTAGGTTCGTATAGTCTGGTCTGGCGTTAGCACAATTCGAGGCAGATTTAGTACATTGACAGATCTTGACTTGCATCAGACAACGGACTTGACCCTTGATAGTGACGCCATCTGGCACCTCTTTTGGCGCAAACTGACCCTGAGAAAGGCTCGAATGTCAGCGATTCCAGTTAAATCACGCAATAAAGGGAAAGTCCCCGGTCTAAGTAAATGGGACACAAAGGAACATGGGTAAATACTTGGCCGTTCACAAAATTCAAGATCCCTTCATCATCAGGAAGAGAACATTCTTCCACATTATTGCATCTCGAGTCCTATACTTTCACCGTCAGCAACATCCCTATTCCGAGCTGTAAAAGCGCCTTTGGATATCCTCAAACGTAGACAGGATCTGGATGTGTCGATACTGGGTGACTACACACCGCAGAGGACAGGCAGAAGTGAAAGAAACAATCATCTTACCGTATAGTTGACCACTTTAAGGCAGGATACCTCTGCGCGTGTCGTATGGGTGTGCTCTGGCGAGGCAAAAGGATTGTGAGAGAAGTAGCGCTCCATTGCTCGATCTCAGGTGCATGACACCCATACCCTCATAGCTATCACAAATTCACAGCACCATATCCAAGGTCTTTATGTAGAAGTCAACAGCTGGTTGTGTGAGGCAGACAGCTTCCAGACCCACACTCGCCATCTCAGCCACGACCACGTCTTGTCGGGTGTCAATCAAAGTGTGATACCCAAACTCGCAACGGAACTTGCGATTGGTTCATATTGTCTGGTGAAAACTCGCATCGTGCTCAGCCCCGCTGCATAGTAGGAAGGTTGGGCAGCGCCTTTGGCCAGTCTCTTGTGACCGGTGTTCGAATGGTATCTATCTTAAGCACAGCCACGCTGCACCGCCCATCAGCTACCCGGATGTATGCGACGTATATACCCAATACTACTTAGTTTTAGGGCGAAGCGCACCCATCGACATCATTCGGTAAAGCCAGGATCCCGTACATCGCAGCATTCTTCAAACCTCCGTACTCATCTCATCCCTCCCCGTAAAGATCTTCCAAAGCCTCTTGCTGACCGCCTTCCCGACCCTCTTCTCCCCAACCTCCCTTTCCTTATTGATCACCCTCCTGACATCCTCCAACGTCCCCGGACCTCCCTCCTCCAACGCCCGAACTAGTTGTCCAACCCTGGGATATACATTCGCAATCCCCATGGCAATCGGCGCCGTGATCCTCGCCACCTCCTGCAGCATGCGCACGTACGCTTCCTCAGTTCCAATAGCCGTCCGCACCTGTCCGCTATCCATGCAGAACCCGGCCGACTTCATCAAGTAGTCTTCTTGATGCCGTTTGTAGGGCGCGACGGCGACATTTTGGGTGAAGAGCTGTAGCTGGTGGGCGGTGTCCTGGAGGCATGTGGTTTCTTGGATTTGTATGGAATAGAGGAGTTGGAGTCGAAGGAGGGCGGCGTCGATTTGGGATTCGCTGATAGTCATGGGGGGATCGTTTTTCTTATTAGTCCGGCGGGAAGAGGATGTTGATGCGGATTCGTCCTCGGCTAGGCGGGAGCGGACGACAGAGGCAAAGTCATTGTTGCGCTTATTACGGTTTGAGGAGAGGAGTTTCTTTAGGCCTTCGATGAGGTAGATGGTTTGGTGATTAGGGAAATGGCGTTGCACCTTGAGTACGTGCGCTTCGAGATTGTGGCCCTCGGCGCCCATTGCGAGCTTAGCGAATTCGGCGGCGGGGAGGATGACCAGGATGATCTTCTCGGTCTCGATGGTTTCGGGAATCGGGTCATAGTGGTGGCGTTCCTCGTTGTAACGGGATTTGACCGCGCGGCGCCAGCGCACGACGTTATCGACTGGGGAGGTCCAGGTATTGATTTCCTTGACATCGATCTTCTTCAGAAATTCTTCGATTTGGATCTTGGTAGCTGGAGGGAGGCTAGACGGAAGATCCACGATCATCTCAGGGGTGGCGATTTCCTTTCTGATCTTCAGCTTGTTGGCTTCTGCACGGGCGGCAGCGCGCTGTTTCTCTTCGGCCTTTTGTTGCTTCTCGCGCTCTTTTTCTTGCCTTTTTCGTTCTGCTGCGCTCTTCTTCTCGAGGGCTTTATCTTCTCTTTCCCTGGCTCGTTCCTCGGCCGTTTTCTTCGCACCTCCTTTTGCAGGCTTCGTCCTTGTCGCTCCCGTTGTTGTAGATGCGGACTTGGTGAATGGTCTTTTCGTAGGTCCCGATAGATCATTCCCTGAGCGACTAGCTGGGAAGCGGAGGTCGGATATGTCTGGAAAGTCATCTTCGTCGTTGGATAGAGGGTCCGCGCCTACGTCCTCATCCGAGTTTTCGGGAGGACTGAACCCTGATTGACTTCTTCCTAGGGAGCGGTGAGGACTAGGTTTCGCTGGAAGGGGGGCCGAGCTTGATATGGGATCCCATGCTGCTGCTGTTGTTGCCGCCCTTGGCGGTCCTCGTGGATTCGGATTGACTTTCAGCGGAGAGTCCGCGAATGGGTCATCGTCGTCGGAATCATCTATGTTGATAACATCTGGTGTGACTGTTGCAGAAGCAGGTCCTTTCCCTTTTTGTTCTCGGGTGAACCTTGGGGGCGGGCTTGCGAAGGGATCACCATCGTCGTCATTGTGATGATAGGTGGGTTTCGCCGCTTTGGATATATTTCGGCTGGAAATATGGGGAGATGTGGAAGACTCAAAATCCTCTATTACCCTACTGCTGCCATTTCGTGATGACCCCAACCGAGGCTTCGGGCTGTTGGACTCTGAGACTGGGGACAAGCGTTGTCGCTTCCTAGCTGGCTCGCTTGTTCGCTCGCCTCCGATTGTCGATCTGGTGACACTGTCAATATCGAGAAAACCGTCCGATGATATATCAATGTCGAGTTCTGGAGTTTTCTTCTGGGTCATAGTTCGAGCAGGGCCCTGGATGGACTTCAATTCTTGACTGTCTCCCGTGAGATCAACGGTACTGAGTCCTGGTTCTTTCCTGGCGGGAGTTTTGGAGGTAGATATTGGCGGGACGTCATCGGCTGTGAGGTCAAAATTGTCGTAGTCTAGGTCATCATCGAGGACATGCTTCTGTGCGCTGGGCGGGACATGCGACAACATGTTGTTGGTAACTAATGTTGATTGAGGTTCCACCTCTGGGCTGGAGAGAAGGGATATGACCTCTGGGGGCATGGCTCAAGGTTTTGATGGCGCGTGGAAACTCGGTAAAGGCTGTTTGTGTCTCTCCATGACACGAGTCACTGGTGGGGACAAATGACGCGGACAGTTGCGTGCTGGCCGTTTGTTTGGGGGGGCGGGCGGCTCTCGGCCTATGCTCCGTTTGCAGACAGTCGCGAAGTATCGCTTCGGCTCGTGTTTGTCTTGCGACTAGTATTGTCTAGTTGCCACAGCACGACGGGCGACGACGTTGCGACAGCGTAACGGGATGCAATGCAATGCAGTGCGGTGCGGTGCGGTCGCATAGTGTAACGACATGTTGACGCGACGGGTCGAGGTTCGAAGCACGAACCTGACGCGGGCTTCACGTGATCTGAGCTTAATCAGACCCCGCTCTCCACTCGGCCGTTCCCGTTGTTTGTTATCATCGAATCGCTGCTCCTCGCTTTCTCCATTTTACCAGGCCGACCCCGTGCTCGCACCATCGATCGCAATGACCGACGGCCGACTGATCGACGACCTCTTTGCCCCGGCCCCCGGATTCAAATGTCCATGGTCTGTCTGTGGAGTGTATAAAACGCCGTCATAACCGGCCATAGTGGGCCACTAAAGACGAAGCGAGAAACGTGATCAATGGAATGGAAGAGACTGAGGAAGCTCATCTTTCTCCATCCGAGACTCCATATGCTTCCCGCTTTTCACACGAGACAGTTTCAGTGACCCATTCGGACACACCGTATCGAAAAGAGTCAGCTTCACCGTGCTGTTGGCAGTCCTCAACACTCGCCCGTTTTATGAAGGATAGATCTCTGCTCCCATCACGGTTTCTTCGCGCATACACAACGAGGTTAGATGAGATGTCTGTCCTTCATCTTCGAATCCCTGCATCTCTAAAATGCAAAGAATCGTGGTCTGCTTGCACGTGGATTTGTCGTTCGGTCGTCCAATGGCAGTATGTTTGCCCGCTCTTATCGAACCCCATCCGAATACACACCCAGCAACATGCCAAAGACGGGCAGCCAGAGCGCGCCGCCGTAATCTCTTCCTGTCTTCCTCATTCGTCTTTCATTTCCTTCTCTTTCCCATGGGCGAAGCGAAAGACGTTGAACGGGCTCGAACTGACTGACAGACTGACAGGGGCTTTAAATTTCCAACGGGGAAGCTAACGCAGGTGCACGGTCACAGGTCCCCATCCAAGTGCCACCGAGGCGTCAGTGCTTCTGGAGATGAGAGAGCAAACGAATCCGGAGCATGACCTCATTTGGGAGACTGTTGCCGTTGTAGGGCACGGGTAGGCAAGCTGGGTTCGAAGATGCATGCCACGACTGTTCCTCTGTGCACTACGCAATGTCTATATGTATGTGTAAATTCTCGTGATAAACCTCTTGTACAAGTGTCGCCCTCTTCTTGAGGTTTTCACATGGCCGACGATGGCAAGGCAGCATCGGTAACAAGAACATCAGGCCATCCGATCTTCACGATGCTATATCCACGCCCTAGGCTACGTCTAGAAGGGATAAGGTATGCGGAGCCTGCCAGACTAGTTTCTCCGAAGCCCGGCGGGAACCTGAGACCCTCAACATGCTTTTCATGACAGTATGTACCCGTGGTGCCGGTAGATGGATTGCACCTGTTCCACCCATTATTGATGTCTGATTCCGCACAGACCGCTCGTTCCGACGGCGAGGACAAGATACAGAGCGATATGTAATCAAGGCACCCCATCAGACGATAGACGGGAAGCGCACCCCGCGCTCTGGCATCATCCCGTATCGAGCTGATGCGCGTCTTTTGAGTCGCTGTCGGATGTCGGCTGTTGATTGGGCAGAAGGGCCCGCCTTGATTCGGCGCCCTGAGCACATGTCTTGCTAGCAGTGAATTCCACTTGGATTTGTGTTCCTGAAAAGCGTGCCTGACTTTGTGCTGCGTACCTGCAGACCCGTTGCTTTGGCGGCTTTTGTGTGTCCGCGGAGCTGGTTATAGCGACTACAGTACCTCTAGTACGATCGGTCAGTGCGACTGTGTGGGGCCTTACAAACTGGGCGACTCGAGTCAAGACCACCAAAATCCCGGGAGCTTGCAACCACCACCAGAAGTCCCGCATCCCGTCCCCGTTTTGCATACTCAAAGCGAGCCATCTTTTTCCTAGCACTAGATCTTCTTTTCCACGCTTGCCTTTAACCGCGAATCCTAACCACTCATCTGGGTTGCTAGAAGTGACTTGCACCTTGGTTGGTTGAAGCTGCTGCTGGCTCCACACAGTCGCACTTACCGATTGTGCAGTCGCTTTAACCGGCTTGCAGTCATCCGCTTTATCACACACACGGTTTCGACACCCCACTGTCGCTAACGTCGGAAGGTTCATCCCATCCACTACCTACACTAGAATTAGCCCCATGCCCGTGTCCTTGATAGCGCTCATGCACCCCTGAATTAACACCACCAAGGGAAGGCTTCCAGAATGGGAGTTGGTGGTGGACTGGGTCGGGTGGTTAGGGCCAAGGAGGGAAAGACAAAGCGATGATCTTAGGGGAAGTTTGGCGATAGCGGGTGCACTTTTGGGGTTTCCCAGGCACCCCGCAAAGGCAGACAGAACCCATACCTAGAGGTATTGAGCTATACACTATATACAGATGGGTATTTTCATGTGTCTCTAAATATCCTCGCTATTGTAGGCCTTGCTGTTGCTTTCTGGTTGTTGTTTGCAGTAAGTAGCGATTGCGTGAATCATGTGTGACGGGCGTTCAAGGCGGGCTTTTAGCTTTCCCAAGAAAAAGGGGTCCATGTGTTCATCTGATGTGATGCAACATCTGCCAAGTCTCGACAGATGCGCAGTGTTATACAGAGCCTCGCATCCCACGTTCGCTGGCTGTGGTTGCGACTATCTCACAACATGCCGCGCATGCAGATACACATACGTGATGTGGAGAGGGTGCTGTTGCTGGAAAGGGAAAAGAAGCAAGCGCGGGTGCCCCTTAATCATCTCGCCATCTCGTTGGCGGCTTGACGACTCTGGCTGTTATGGTACCGGTGCAAACGATTGCGACGCCTCATGTTTGTTTTCTTGCCCATTTCCCTTCCTAGCAAATCACCCAGCTGGGAACAGGAGAATTGCACCCACCCGGTGACCTACTACTAGGTAGGCAGATAGTCGTCTGTCTGTCTCTCAGAGTCCGTCAGGTCCCGTGTGTGAGGTGCACGATCAGCGAGACATGGAAAATGATTTCTCATTCGCTCCCGATCTGGTCAAGGCAAGCAAGCACCTAGCCAGGGCCAAGTTCCCAAAGTGTACTAACTCGAGCGGAAGGGCTTGACCGTGACCGGATCCCAATCAGATGCGATTCTCGTTGCTTCCGTTCCTTCCTCTCCAGTGTTCAGGGGATGGCAGTGGATGGGAGAGTTGCTAGTGGTCGTGACCTGAGTGGGGGGTACCCGTGCTAGCTGCGCTCTGCTACATCGATACCTTGTCGGTAGCGTTGGTAATTTGCGACGCCGTCTACATCCTGGTCAGTCGGTCGACGCAATCAAATAAACAAGCAAGAGTCCCCCAAACCACTTTCAGCCCAGAGATCCTGAACCACTTTTTTTTTAAATGATTTTGCAGCATTTTGCTTTCAGTTGCTAACATCGTGCCCGCTCCTCGACTTTGGGCGATTTAAAAATACTAAAAACAAAAAAAAGAAACCAGGCCGGTATCGATAACACATCCACTCCCGACACCAGTCCAACACCTTTCGCAACCAGCTGGAACATATGACGCCCGTTGTGCAAATTAAAGCTGGATAACACCCGCCTCCCCGCGAGGGGTCCGCAGTCCGCCATTCCATCATCTCCTCTACATATCAACATACAGCAAGCAGTCCCTCCTTTTGTCCAGTCCAAAATCCCAGAAGCATCCCAACGTCAAACCATACACTAATTACGAGATACCCGACGGAGGAGATATTTCACGAGACCAAGACTCAGGAGAGACGACTATTCTATCTATACCTTCAGGCCATCCCTTGCAGCGCATATCCGATTCCAGCATCACTCACAACAAACGTCCAACCCCTATTGGTGATCAGTCGTTACTTTGAACCCAACAAGCCGCCGAGCAGCCCGAACCCAAGCCCATCTCATCCCGTTTGGCTGCCGACCGTCATTCGCTATCCGTCGCTCCCTATATCTTGGCCCAACTATCAAGCAGCAGTGTAGCCAGGCGCACAGGAGTGTGTGTGACGCTGGGGACCAATTCGACCTGGGCGGTAGTGCAGACTTGCAGGTGGTATTGCGCCGTCGCATTGGCCCGTCCAGCGGTACCCAAGCCTGAGGTCCAAACGGCAATCCCACAAGCCGTCCATTCGCTTCCAAGGAAAAATCCATCATAAAACGATAAAACAATGGACTTCGCCTCTCCTCCAAATTCCCCGGGCGGCTCCAGCTTGCCTCAGCGACCCATGAGCGCCATGGTTCGGCCAACACAGAGAAGCAGCAGCCGCATGAGCATTACCAGCAAAACTGGTGGTGGGAGTCGAGCGTCGGACGACGATGTCAAGACTGCAGTCAGAGTCGGTACGTACCCCCACAGCATCCGTACCCCCTTTTCTTTACCTACCCCCTGGTGGCTCCCTATTGTAGAGCATTCCAGCTGTGGTATTCCGGCAACTGCACGGCAACGCCGAGAGAAGCAGCCACTCCCGCCTGCAAAAAAAAAGAGGACATGAACAACTTGGATGCTGACACCGCATTTTCCCTTCTGTAGCGGTGCGCGTGAGGCCGCCCCTGGGTCCAGACGATCCAGGATACGATCTTGTCCCACAACGCTTTCAGCGGTCAATGGTGCAAGTCCAAGGAGAGACCGGAGTAGCCATCGATTCACCACAGGGCCGCAAGTTGTTCGTGTTTGACAGGGTTTTTGGTCCCGAGGTCGACCAGGAGGGCGTATGGGAGTATCTGAGCGA